AGCTTTTTAAGCTAGTCTGTGTAGCTAGAAATCCTTCGAAATATACCCTTCATCAGCTTACCTATTGGTTTTTAAAAAATCAATGGGTGGAATGGGTAACAGAGAACAGCTATCCCTCTGGAATTCTACATTTCGTTGACTTTCTAGGAAGTGTCAGCAGCCAATTGAAGCGGAACAAGAAACTTTAAGTGCACCCACTACTACGGAACAACCAAAGAAACGTAAAACTCTAACTGCACCTAGTGTAACAGAGCTTCATCGAGTTGGAATCAAGTTTGAGTTAGCATCTAGCAATAACCTATTTGGCATAAGCTTTAATGGTGACGAAGGACATTGAAAATTCCACGATTAAAAATAGATGATTCCACAAAAATTCTATTTAGAAATTTATAAACCTTTGAGCAATGCCATTACATCGATGATTATATTATAGGTAACTATATCACCATGATCAATATAGTTGTCCATGCTATCAAGGATATGGAATTACTCGCTAAAAACAGAATTATAGAGAATTTGCTACGTGATAGTGATACGAGTTTTAAGTCTTTTCCATAATCTTTCTAATGAAAATCTTATTGTTGAAGAAAATTTCCACTTTTCCGATATTTTTGAACGTCCGAACAAGTATTATGGAAAGCGGAGACATAAATGAAAAGCGATTTTGAAACAAAATTATTTCGATAATCCATGGACTATAATGTTTGTTTTAGCAAGCTGGTGTACTTTTAATACTCACCGGCATACAAACAATGTGTTCTATCATTCAAGCTATATAGGTTCTACCATTTCAATGTTTCCTATTAGTTAATATTGCATGTTTTCTATTATTGTCCCGTGAAATTGCTATGTATTCATTTACTACGGTAACTAATCAATTTTAGTTTCTTCCATGTCTTGTTTTTCCTAAAAATTTTTAGTATCAATCAAACTACAATCAATTAGTCAAATACAGATCATGAAATAAAAAATATAGAAAAAGTGAATATTTGCAATAAGTCACAAAGAAGAATGGGAATAATGAAACTATAAATGCATAAGATTCTATAGAGTATCAAAATTGAATTTTCCTCATATATCGATATTAGAAAGATTATGCAATAAAAATATCAAAAGAGTGGATATTTTTACGAAAAATTAAACATTTCTTGCTTGTGGACAAATCTTATAATGTTCCGGGCTTTAGATATATATGGTACTAGTTTTTTTACCCACGTTACGCCGTGAGTTGAAAAAAATACATAAAATTATTATGGGAATGTGAGTAGTAATTTCACCATAAATAGGTTTTAATTATGAGACATGGTTGGATGTATTTGAGTAGTACTAAAAAGATCAAGAGTATAAGCTACAACTCCTACCTTATCAATGATCATAAGGAGACCATAAAAATGAGGAGATAATTTCTAATTTATGGCATAATTATTTTTCCTGTTTGGTTATGTTGACTAACTATGTAACGGCTTTTTTTTTTTTTTAACTTATCTAATTATACTAAATTGGCATTGTCACTATATTTTGATCTTAGACCGACCATACCAATTTGGCTATGTATATTGACTTTTATATTTGTTTTTTTATACCGGTCAAATTATAATAGAAAAGCAACTCCTAAGTGAGGAGATATATCGATAAAAAATTTGTGTTTGGCAATAGTAATGATTTCATCCGATAAGGTTCTCAAGAACAATACATGTGTGGATCAGTCTTAGAGTCGTTGGGGTATTGAAAGCTATTATTTTGAGCAAATACTTAAACATCCATTTTGATGTAGATAAATCAATGTAGAGAGATAATTAGTTTTGAGTGCTTCCTAATTCTTCTTTAAGTTTTCACTCCATCTATTAAGGGGAGATAAACTTGTCTTAAGTGATTAGCTAATAATGATAAAATTGAATTTTTTTCTTGTACTAAAAATAATTTTCTTACTCATGGTCACGTTAGGCTATAGCTTGGCTAAATAGAACAAGATGTTGCCATTAGAAAGTATAACTAAGAATGAAAAGCTTAAGACTAGGCCATCATACAGCTTGGCTAAGTGGATATGGTGTTACCGTTAAAAAAAAAAACTAAGCGCATGTAGCTTAGTAAGATGGATATGATATCGCCACCGTAAAGAAAAACTAAACATGAAAATCACACGGTTTGACCAAAGCACGCAATTTGACTAGATAGACATGTATAAAAACCGTGTATGAAAATCTCATTATCTAGTCAACATGTAACGTAATTATATAGATATGATGATGCCATAAAATAAAACCGACTATAAAAAGCTCATGACTTGCTAGTATGTAGTTAGGTCAAATGAGATCAAAAGGAAAAATTGAATATGAAAAGTTCACAAGCATGGCTATATGGACATGAAATTGCAATAGAAAAAAAATTGAGCATTAAAAACTCATGACCTAGCCAACGCATAACTTGGCTAGATGGATATGGTATGGCAATTAGCGCATAAATTGGCCGGATAGACATGGCGTTTTCATTAGAAAGTAAATTAAGCACGAAAAGTTTATAGCCTCACTAACATGTAGCTTTGCTAGAAAAAAACATGGTTTTGCCATTAGAAAGAAAAATTGAACATAAAACGTTTACGATGTAACCAAGTGTGCGACTTGACTAGATGAACATAGCATTGCTATCAAAAGAACAATTAAGCATGAAATGCTCACAACCTAACTAGAAGAACATGACGTTTTAATCCAAAAGGAAAACTAAGCATGAAATGCTTATGGCTTGGCCAACATATAGCTTGGCTAGATGAATATTTCTTTTATTAAATTTTGAAAATATGGCACTCGTCTCGCCTTTGTATTTATTCATTTTTATTTAAAGTTCCGAGTGCTTATATTTTTTTCTTAAGCCATAAAGATTGAAGTATAAGATGAAATCAATCCTCCACGAAACTTGTTCAATTTATTAAGAAGAAACAATCAAGAATTACAAGAGTTAAGAATAAACTCATTAATTTATCACGCTCAAAAGGTGTCTTAGCATCAAGAATTAAGATGTTTATCCCTCATTTATATCATTTTATACACTAATACTTGTAGAAGAGAATCAAAGCCAATTCATGAAGAAAATACCTAAATCAATAAGTGATAGGACCTAGGAGTATTAGTGACATGAAAACAGAGTTGAACATGTATAAAGCCTATTTGAAACCATAACATAGCCTCGAGTTCAAAAAGAAATATTGTCAAAGGCTTTAAAAGTAGTTGGTGTCCAATTCATAGATCTCTTGTCAATACATAAACCTCTCAAGATACTAACCGGCATAAGATTTTAAAAGGAGCAATTATCAATGAAAGTCCTAAAAATGAGGCAATTATTTACCTTACTCTTCATATAGAGTAGACAATTACGATTTGTCTTTTCAACACAATAATTAATATTAGTGAAAAGCATATCATTCTCTTAAATTCTTTCCATTTTCCACCGGAGAACTAACAACTGAACACTTGCCATATAATTCCTTAGATATCTAGACAATGTCTATCATAGTTGCTTTTTGGCTTCCTCATCAAAGCCCAAAAGATTGATAAAATTGTAAAAATTGGAGTTTTTAATAAAACCTATACAATAGAGGCATTGTCATCTACCTTTTTCATATAAGGTTGAGAGTAGCTAGGAGTAAGTTGGTAGAAAGAATTTTTTTCAAGCCTTTTGGTGTTTATGAGCATCCTAAAAAAAATCTTCAAGACTTTGATCATGGCTTAAAAGCCTAAATATGTAACAATTTGTGGTAGGAGTTTGAGCAACAAGTCGAGGCGGACCATCTCCTAGCAATGTTAGCAAGTTGCCACTAACAACGTGAGAGTTTGAACGGTTATTATCATTCTCGTGTTAAACAAGTTAGCATTGTTAGATTAGGACTGGGCAGAGTGCATCATCATTGTTGCGGACATTTGAATTGATAGCAAGATTAATATTTTTCTTGATGGTCTTTGAAATGACCCTTTTTCTTTCGCAATAATTAACTTCTTAATGGAGTCATCAAAACATGTTGACGATTCTTGTAAATGGATTAGACAACCGGTTAGTAAATTAGTCAAGATATAAAGAGCTATTATTGTGACTTTTAGAAATGACAATCACCAACCAAGCAAAAATGATAAAAGCACTGAGAGACGTGAAATGAGGAGTAGACGAGTGCTATAAAGACATAGGTTGAGTGACTGATAGGTGGGTAGTCAAAGTCCATACAAATAGAGCTTTAGATGTTGTTTGGTGTGGGAGTGAGATAGCATTGAGAGAGAGGGTTTAAAGATATTTTTACTAGAATTCAAAAATTAAAATCTCATCACAAAAATGTGAGGTTGGTATTTATAGTGAAATGAAGATGACCTTTGACCATTAGAATCGTATTATGTCATTCATGTTCGGACATCCATACTTGAATTGAAGAAAATTGAGTTCTTTTAGACTAAACTACTTCAACTTGTTAGTAAAAGCTAAATAAAGTAACAATTGATCTTTTTTTTTAACGACTCCTTCCCTAAGCCTACCAAGCTAATCTTCCTAATGTATTCTAAAGATAAGACATGGATAGTGGCCCTATCGAATATTAATGTCCATTACCGATCATGCCAAAGCCTTGTGTTGAGCGATACCCATCATCAATATAGTCCATTTATTATGTAGGTTAAACACATGCAAAAACTAAAAAAATAATATAGATTAATACATAATTAAATTAATTCTTATGAACAAATTTAGCCTATACCATAATTTTAGAATATGAAACCTAATTGAATGATTATCTGAAACATTGAAAAAACATTACGAACACATATGTCATCTAGTATGGATGCATGTCAACCGAGATTCGTGTTTTTTGGTTGTTACACTTTTCAACCTATAGTTTGCCAAATGTTCCAATTCGAGTCCTATTGTTAAAAATTTCTCAGGGTCAAGCACCGGCCAATTCCTTGAAGATTAATTACCTTTAATTTCACAGTATTAAAAAAAAAAAAAATTACCTGTTCATATAAAATATGAACATTCTTTTCATCTTTGTGGCATTTCAACTGCCTTTATTTAAGAAGGATGCAGATAATAAAGAAAACGAAGCTCTGCTGACTTACAGGTTGGAAGTGGTTGCAATTAAGAAATGAAAAGTGCATGTAAGAGTAAATTATACGCCTCTTCTTCTCAAAAGATTAAAAAAAAAAAAAAAGGTGAACTATCAACCTCTCAAAAATCACCAATAGTTCTTTAAGCATTAACCCTCCCAAATAAACTACATTCTCTTCATCTCTATAGAATTTGAACTGCACTTATATATAAATTAAGCATGAAGTTGCCAAAAGGCATTTAGGTACGAAATGGAGCCACGTATTGCTTATATGCGTGGCGATGATGTCCAGAGGATATCATCAAAGAGGTAAGTTCCAACATTTATCGTGTCAACAACCTTGTTGAGGCTATCTTTTGGCCATTTTTTTTTTCTGAGAAAGGCAAGTTCAAAACGATGAAGCATATATATTTGATCTAAACCTCATTAATTATGTGGGCTCTTGTGCTCCTCTTGATGGATTTTTGTAATCTCATCCATGTCTAAGTAAATGCTTCCCAATTAAGATGATTGAATTTTGCTTGCTAGGTTGATGGGCAAAGTTGCTGTTATAACTGGTGGTGCAAGAGGGATTGGGGCAGCCACAGCAAAAGTATTTGCAGAAAATGGAGCAAGTGTTATCATTGCTGACATACTCGACGACCTGGGGACCTCCCTAGCTGATTCCATTGGAGGCCGATACATACACTGTGATGTCGTCAATGAAGGCGACGTAGAATCAGCTGTAAATCTTGCACTGACATGGAAGGGGAAACTAGACATCATTTTCAACAATGCAGGAATTGCTGGCACTGAAGGGAGCATCACCAACATAGACATGGAGCAAGTGAAGCACCTGCTCTCAGTTAATGTCAACGGAATTCTACATGGAATCAAGCACGCTGCAAGGGTCATGATCGAAGGCCGAAAAGGCGGGTGCATCATATGCATGTCAAGCTCTGCAGCTATCATGGGAGGCCTTGGATCACATCATTATTCACTATCAAAAGAAGCTATTATTGGATTGATGAGGAGCACTGCGTGTGAGTTAGGGGTGCATGGAATTCGTGTCAATTGCATTTCCCCTCATGGTGTCGCCTCGGAGATGCTTGTCGGTGCCTTCAGAAAGATCCATGGGAAAAAGGATATGACACCTGAAGAAGTCAGCACGATTGTTGGAGAGAGAGGTAGTCTTTTGCGAGGAAGAAGTCCAAGCCTGGAAGACGTAGCACAAGCTGTACTGTTTCTTGCCAGTGAAGAAGCTGGGTATATAACAGCACACAATCTCGTTGTTGATGGGGGTTATACCTCTGCTAGCAGTAACATGAGTTTCATCTACCAGTAGCCAAAAGGAAGGAACCAAAAATTGCAAGAAAGTAGCAGAAAAAAAATTGAAATAGCTAATGCAAGTACTTAATTGGCTTAATTTGATTAATTTAGAGTTACAACCCAAGCTAGCTATCAATGAATACATCAGAAAGGTATACTGGATCAAGATCCAATCACTTTAGGTTTCTACCTTTACTTCGCCGTTTTATCTATCATTTTGGGTTAGCCTGTTAATGGTCATCCAACATTATACATCTGCTACTGTCTCGAAGTATGGCCAAACTGCAATGACCGGCTACACACAGTTTACCTTTAGCAAGTAAGAATTACTTGAAATCTCTAATGATGGGGTTGGAGGCCGCCCCTAGTTTCTAGTTAAGCTACTAAATATGATTATGATCTTCTCACATGAAACAAATAGCAAGCAAAATGGACTAAATATTGTATGGGAGTCTTTGAGAACCGATCAAATGGCAGGTCGATGGACCGATCAGAATATAGAGAGTTGGTACTATGACATGTAAAATTAATAATCAACCAACCAAGTAGAATAAATACAAATAGTGAGAGATGTGAGAGGAGAAACAGATAGTGCTAGCAAGACACGAGTCTAGTGCTAAGAAGCAATGTTGTCTAGATGGACATGACATTGTCATTAGAAAGAAAAGCTGAACCTAAAAAGCTCACAACCTCGGCTAGCGTGCAATTTGACTAGATGAATATAATGTCACTATTAGAAAGCAAAATTGAGTATAAAAAGCTCATAGCCTAGCCAGCGTGTAATTTGGTTAAATAGACAAGCCTTACCATCAAAAAGGAAAAAATGAGCATAAAAAGCCCACGACATGGCCAACACGTAGCTTGACTAAATAGATATGGCATTGCCATTAGAAAGAAAAAGTTAGCATGGACAACACGCAGCTTGACTAAATAGACATAGCATTGACATTAGAAAGGAAAACTTAGCATGAAAAGCTTACATTCTAGCCAGCACATAGTTTGACTAGATGTACATGGTGTTGCCATCCAAAAGAAAAGCTGAGCATAAAAAACTCATGACATGGACAACATATAACTTAGCCAAATGAACATGGCACTGCCATCAAAAAGAAAATTTAAGCATGAAGAGCTCACAACATGACCAACTTGCAGCTTGACTAGATGGATAGGCATTGTCATAAAAAAAAAAAAAAATTGAACATGAAAAACTCATGGTTTGCCCTTGGCATAACTTAGATAGATGGATATGGCATTGCCTTCATAAAGAAAAAAAAAATTAAGCATGAAAAGCTCATGATCTAGCAAGTTCACACCCATATGGACATATAGTGTTGCCATCGAAAAATTGAGCATGAAAAACTTCAAGCCTAAGTAGCATACAACTTAGATAGACGAACATGATGTTTTTTTGGAAAGAAAAGCTGGGTATGAAAAACCCACAACCTATCCAACATACAACTTGGCCGGATGGACATATCTTTTAGTAAATTTCGAGAGTATGACACTCATTTTTCTTCGCATTCATTCATCATTTTATTTTTTGAAGTGTAATGGCTTGTGTAATAGTTAGAGACATGCCACCTCTTGATAATGTTAGCAAGATGTCACTCGTCAACTTATGGATTTCGAGAATTGTTGTCCATCTCGGTATTAAGCAACCGTTGTTATCGGGATTGTTGCCATTCTTAGTATTGAGCGAGCCGGTGTTATCAACATTGTTTCCATTCTCGGTATTAAGCAAGCTAGTGTTTTCAATATTGTTATTAGGATCGGACAAGGTATCGCCATCATTACAAGCAACCGAACTTATTGTATAATTAGTATTCTTCTTGGTGGTCTTGGGGAGAGACTATTGTTCTTTCACAATAACTAACTCTCTAGTGGAGTTGTAAAAATTTGTTCTTAAGAGTTGATCAAACGAATGGTTGATAGACCAATCGAGTTACGGAGAGTTAGTATTATGACTTATGAAAGAAAAGATCAACTAACCAAATAGAATGGATGCAAATGGTAATAAGTATGAAAGAAGGAGCATGCCATGCTCGTTAAGACGTAAGGCGAGTGGTTGAGAGGCTAAGTGAGTTAAAATCCAAACGAGATAGAGCTCTAAATGATGTCGAGGCGTGAGTGAGAGAGTTTTGAGAGAGAAATTTTAGAGATTTTTGCTAAGGACCACAAAGTAAAAATCTACTCACAATGGTTTAAGGTTAATATTTATAATAAATTGAAAATGATCATTGACCACTTAGATCATGTTGTGTCATTTATGTTTGGACCGTCAAATTGAATTGAATAAAATTGAATTTTTTTGGATTAAACCATTTCAACTTGTTAGTAAAGATTAAAAGAAGTAATAATTGAGCCTTTTTTTTAACAAAATCAATCTCCCTAATGAATAACAAAAATAAGGCATGGACAATTGTTCCGTCAAAATATCATTATTTGTTATTGAGCGACCTAAGACCTTGCGTTGGACGAAATCTATCCTCGGTCAAATTTATATATTATGTAGCTTGGACTCATCAAAACTAAATAAAATAATATAGATTAACACATAATAAAATTACTAAATTACTTAGTTAATTTTAAAGAAAAATGGAGCATATATAGATAGCATGTTGAGGTCCAGACCTCTCGAACACCAAATTGATAAACACACAATTTCTACTACTACGTACTAGCAGCAACTATTTGGCCAAAATCGGATCAAATGATTTATCTTGTGAAAAACACCCTACAAGTAAGAAACCACAAACCCGATGCATTTTTTTTTAAAAGAGTCAGCGTGGTTCTTGCAACAAGGTTTTTATTGAGAAACTACATTCACTGAGCAAGGACTTTTATGCTAATATTTATGATTCAGAGTACATTGTTAACGAATAGGGATGATCATTCAGCATTTTTATTCTATTTGTAATAATCCTAGTTCCATTTTCTGTTAAACGAATCTACAAAAATAAAAATCAAACTCAAACCCGAATTACTATTTAGTTATTTGGTTTAAAAACCAAAATTTTGGTTTAAACCAATTTTTTAAAATTTTTTTTTAATTTTTTAAAATAATATAACTAGACTAAAAACATCATTAATCCATCATATAATAATAATAATAATAATAAGTTATTTATTTTTTTAGTTTACTTTCATTATTTTAAAACTTAAAAAAATCAATTTAAATTGAATAAAAATTTCCAAAAACGAAATCGAAAAAAAAATCGATTCATTTTTTTGAGTTAAAAATTTAACTGAAATTAATATTTTGATTTAGTTTAATCTTTTAAATTTAAATAAACTTATGCTTGCCTCCATCAATGAAAACACTTTCTCAAAAATAATTTATTAAATTCCGTTGATTAAAAATCAAATTTCGTTAAATTTGTTCTTAAATGTGAAATAAACATCGAAAAATGAGGAAAAAGGAAAAAATAAACACAGCCTCAGTTTACTAATTTCAAGGCCTGTTGGAACTCTAACATGGGAGGAGCTTGCCCGTTGATGTATTGAGCTGAAGTCTAAGTACAGGCAGCAATCTAAAGATGTTAATTACATCATGAATTCGTGGATGAACTATAACTCAATTAATATCAGTGTTTAGTCTCTTTTGAAAATTCTCAAGTTCAAACCTAATCTTTGTAAAATAAATTAGATGCTAATTAAAACTATATATTTTCAGCAATCATGTAATTAATTCAATAATCTCCGTCAAACTGTTGAGATGATATAAAAGGATCTATGGCCAAATTATAATGTACGTTGATTTACAATATTGAGGATCGTCACTTTTTACAAGCCACACAAATCTTAGAATACATTCGCTTCAAGCAAACCCTACTAACTAATTGTCTTCCACATGTCATTAATTAATTGTTAGTCGTAATGAGATGGTTGGGATTTAGAGTTAGACCCAACAAGGCATGACAGGAACCATGCTGATCCCTGATCGTCAATATTTATGAATGGCCAAAAATCATCCTGTTCCCTCACACTATCAATTTTTCTCATTGGAATTTTCTACTCAATTTTAGTGCAAAAATAACCTTTACTCAAAATGTTGAGACATGCTTGCCCTTTCATTAAACTTTATATTACCCAACTAATATAATGATATCAATTGACTTACGTCTATCAAATTACATAGTGATACATATCGAATCATGTTTGAAAATATAATTTTAAAAAGAAAATGTTTCTCTAAATGAAAATTAAAAAAAAAAAATTGGTTGTTATTTAAAAATGAAAATAAATGAAAAGACAAAATGGTCGATTATTTTTTAAAAATTATTATTTTGTGTGTTTCTGTTTATTTAATTATTATTTAAAAATGAAAATTAATTTTTTATTTTCAATTTTTAGAAAAAAAGATTATTATATAAAAAATAATTATTCTTTAAAAATTCAAAATTTATTTTGTTTCTTTTTGTTTACTTATTTTTTAATTTTAAATAATAATTAATTTTTTTTATTTCTTTTTTTTTTTTTTTTTGGTTTTTTAAAGATGGATTCAAAAAGTAAAAGCCTTTGTTAGAAAAAAATTGACATTTTTTTTTTTTGACAAAATAAAATATTTTTTCTTTGGAAATTACATTTTCAGATATGAATTGATATGTATCAGTATTTGATTAAATAGAAGTAAACTAATCAACACCATTAGATTAATTGGGTTATGAAATTAAACGGAAGGGATAACGTATCCTAACATTTTGAATACAGAATTTTAACTTACACCAGAATTAAATAGAAGAATGCGAATGCCCAGAATTAATATGCACGCCTCTTGTACTAACCGATCGTCTAATGTTTAGTACAGGGAGAAGGCCTAGAAATGTGTTCCAGGTTATGTCGATGAATTTGCAGCTTTTACGGCCTAAAAGCCAAACTAGAAATACCTGGGTAAACATTTCGTTGGTTGGCTAGCTTGATGTAGAGTTTATCAAATATTTTTGAAGTTCATCACTCCAATATTGACCGGATATGGATGAGATATGTACGAAATACTGTTTTAGGTTTCCTCCACATTCGGTTTTGACCTTTGCCAGCGAAGTAAAAATGGTTACAGATCCCTTTCATTATATAATTGAGATGGTCTTTCCGGAAATGAAGTGAAAATTGAGAGATGAAGCATTAAAGAAACATGGATATGTCTCCCTCATACTGGATTTTGAATAGTTGATGACGGTTCGAATCTTCTACCGGCGTGTTGCCGCTCAAGCACCACGAGTATGCAGTGACGCAGGCATGGCAATAACAAAATATTTTCATCCGGCGAAAAGAAGTGGGGATTCACTAGCTTCGATCCGATGTTGACTGTTAAGGCTTTTAGTGCAAGTATTTTCCTCATAAATGGAGAGAGGGATGATACAATTTTAACATAGAAAACTACTCAAATATCAATCTTTGATTTTTATTACGTTTTAATATTTAATATTTAATTCTATTTATTTAAGTGCTTAAGTTTTAATTTATTTTTTTTATTTGGATTCCCTCGGTCATTTAAGATTCATTTTCTAAGATTTTTTTTCTATTTAAATTTCCTTAGTCATCCAAGATTGAAAAATATCGATGGATTAACTTGTGCCTGTTTAAAACGGATACATGAAAAAATAGTTCCTATTTAGATTATTCAAAAGAAAAAAATTCATATTATTTTAAGAAAAAATACAATTTAAATGCTTAATTTGTAATTATTTTTCTGTTTGAATAGCTCATCTTTTATTTTATTTAAGTGCTTGAGTTCTTTCAATCATGTGAGACTAGAAAATGTTAATGGGTCAAAATCTACTTACATATGGCAAAAATTGGATTCACTCAAATTTTATTGAAAAAATAATAATAATAAAAAAATTATTTAAAAAAATTGAGTTCATACCTTTACCAATTTTATATAATAGACCAAAATTTCTATATAATTTTAAAATTTCAATATATTTTTATATTCTAACAAAAAAATAGATAAAATAAACTGTTAGCCATTCAAACAAAAAAATAATAACAAATCATGCACTCATTTTTTTTAACAGTTAATCTATATTTAAGCCTGGGAGAACTTAAATAGAAAGGAAAAAAAAAAATCAAACTTTGGATATTTAGATAGATAGAATTAAAAATTAAACATTCAAATAAAATCAAATTTGAGCTCTCATATTGCAATTTTCTCATTTTAAGAAACTGGTTGTGAGCATAAATAGATCATCTTGAAATGTGAAATCAAATTCTTCGGCCACGGCAAATTTTTTGAAAAAAAAAAAAAAAAACCAGAAGCATGGAATAATGGAAAGAGAAATTAATTAATAATACAGATACATAAGATTTATCTGCCATAGAAAGGAGTCTAAAACAAAAAACCACTGATCATCTTGCATAACATAGATGATGCCCATGTCTAATCAATTAATAATACAGATATATAAGATTTATCTGCCATCTCTGACAAATAATATGCTCTTTTAGGTCTTCTACAGACACTCATCCAAGTGGTCCCACAAGTCCATCACTCCCAGAATCCTGATTAATTAAATTTTGTCATAAAATACAAGGACCGCACTTTTCAGGGCGGATACCATACATTTCCTCTCAAAACTAACAGACATAGAGGGTGGGCCAAAATTGGGAGGGCAATGCACGATTTGAATGCTGAAGAAAGCACAGGCGTAACCTTCCATGAGGGTCCGATCTATTCAGAATGCTAGCAGCTGAATTTATCTGCTTACCGATTAGCCCAGAAAACCACACATACGGTCCTAGACAGCAACACCTAGGCCAATAATGATGCATATCAATGAGGAATCAAAGTATAAAACTAACTGTGAGAGAAACGGGGGAGAGACATTCTTTAAGGTTGCTATATAATTTGAAGTGGCAATGGGCCATAATGCAGCATGGAACAGCATCAAACTCGCTGTTCAGTTGAAAACTGTCGGCATCAGAAAAATGGCCATAGAAGTGGTTTGTCCTTAGAGCATCGTAGCTGGTGGTAAAACATCCAAGGGAAAAAAAAATAACAAGAAGATGCCCATAAGAATAAAACATCATTAGAAGTTCTCTTCTATTACAATCAGGGTTATAGAACTTTATTTAACAACACTTGTTGTTTTCATCCAATAATGCAATAATGACGCTAAAAAGAAACACAAAATCCGATTATCGATGGGCTTCATGTCTCTGCTTAATGGAATATTCAGTAGTTTCATTTATGAACAAGGGCTCCACTGCACATATATGAAGACAGCTTTGAGAGAAATCTATGCCTTTAATTGCTTTCTTTCACTTGATTTAGAAAAATTTCAATGTTTAAAAGGCTAATTGACTATAAAGTACCATAAACTATTGGCTAAAATAGAAAAAATCCATGACTATCCACTCCACCCCCCGGCCATATAGGTCCTCACTCCCCAACCTTCTTTTTCATCTATAATTAAGTTTTTTCATCCCATCGACTAATCTAGGCAACATAAAAGACATGCAAAGCTGTTAAAACAACGACATGTGTCTTGGAAAGCTCTAAACGCATTACACATGTAGTTATTTTATGGCTCCACATATCCCTTCGGTGCCTCCAATGTCGTCCGAAATTGGTCAGCAGACAAAAGGACTTCCTTGCACAAAAAAAGATAAAAAAAAAAAAAAAAAAGAACACAAATCAAAAAAACAGAAAAAGTTAAAGACCTTTTCTCTTGTTGACCAATAGTTCAACTTCCTTTATAACCAATTAATATATTTACAAATTTTGGTCGCAAAACCCCTCATGAACCCTGCCAGTTGAGTGCTGCAGAATCTTTCCAAGGGCATATTTTAGGTTACAGTGGATTTTAATTGAACACTCAAGTCTCCTTGATATTGGTCTGTCTCCTGAATAATTATGCACCTATAAAATTTCTTAAATTTTTCTGAGTGAAATGACTAGGTAAAAACGGAAATCATATGCATTGTGCATGCATGGAGGCTACAGCAAATCAATTCCTATCTCCTGACGAGAAAACAGTGGTGGCATAAGACGTCAAAATAGATACTGTAATTGATAACTTTCACTAATCCAATCAACCCCTAAACAGCAGGAACAAGTTATTTCCACGGTACATGATGAAAGCAAATCTATCTCATTCTTTCATCTCATGAATCAAAGGCAGACCTCTAAGATCAATAGAAACTATGAGTTGAAGTGTTACCTGAAAATGCTGTAATGTTCTGACTCTTTTAGAATACGGGACCCTTCATGTTTAATTACAAAACAATCCTCAAGGCAGCTACATCCTCTTGGGTTCCGGGAAGCTCAGACATAAAACTCTGCCACACTTTGTTCTACCTATGTCTTAGTTTCTCATACTGCAAAACCGACCAGCAAAAGAATCAACACAAGAAGAATATCAATGGAGAAACTGTCCACCATATACTCAAAACGATCCTCTACCTCGTTGCCACCTGACAGTTTTCAGTTTACCATGCTTTATCCCCATTTCCATCTTGGCCAATCCAATGCTGATGAGAAATAAAAGTACGGCTCCAATCCATGACAAAAGATGTAAGGAAGATTAATCCAGTCATATCTCATAATTCAGGTCTCATAGGTAGGAGTTTGACACAGACCCCTTCAAATCTAAACTGGTGTATAGGATTCAAGCGCCAACAGATTCAGCACCAAAAAACCAAGTCTAAGAATTTCTATTTCAATGCAATCTATTGATTACAATAAATGCAAATATTGCCGCTACCAATCTACCAAGAACAAGAATTGTTACTCCCACTTAGACTCATGTGATGAATTACAAACTAAACACTGCAAGAAATCTCCAGAGTAACAAACTGGGTTTCCCATTACTAAATTGATGAGAATCAGCATCTTTCTACAGCAGTTATCAATGTGCTATAAAAGTTGATTAATAATCATAATTCAACATCAAAACATAATATATTTTTTTCTATTATAATTAATTTGATCAAATCTTCTATATCTCATTTGCTTAATTGTTTTCCACATATGGCATATAAATCACTGGCGATGAACTAATTATAGGAAAGATGACCTACCAAAGAAATTTCAGAAGTAAATGCATATTATCATCCCTCATTTATAACTCATCAAAAATCCATTAACAAAATCATTAATAAAATGCATCGGTAAATAATGTAAGTTAAAAACAAACTATTGAAGATTTTTAAGATTCAAGTTATAATATTCCGACAATTTATCACCCATGAACAAACCCCTTTTCTCCATTTCCTCCAAAACAAACTTAGCTTCTTTAAGCCTCTCCAACTTAATCAACTTACTACCTAAAATCCCAAAATTCTCAGTATCCAAACCCTTCTCTTTCCCTCCACAAATTAAAACAAACTTAACTGCCTGATCATAATACCCTTGCTTCAACAACGCATTGATCACGTGCGCGTGTGTCGAATACAACACCGGCACTCCATCATCCTCCATCCTCCTCAGCACCACCAACGCCCCTTCCACTTTCCCCGTCTTACACGCGCCCAAAACCAGCGCGTCATGAGTACGCGAGTCCACACACAATCCCTCCTCTTCGATCCTCTTCATAACTCCGCTTGCCGCCGTTAAATCCCCTTTGAAACAATACGCTGTTAACAAATAATTAAGCGACGTTATATCAGGCAAAACTCCAAGCTCTCTCATTATCTCTATCAGGCGCCACGAGCGTTCCATATTCTTCTTCCTAGTTAGACAGCAGATTATGGGGTGAAAGGTACCGGCATTTAATCCAAACTTGCCACGCGCCATGAAATCCACAACATTTAGGGACTCGTCCACCCGATCGAGTTTGCAGAGACGGGCGATGAGCGCTTCAAACGCGCTCTTGCGAGGGAAGCCATTGTCCAGGCGAGCTAAGGTTTTGATGAGGTCGGTGAGGATGGACAGAGAAGTTTCGGTGTTGGTTATGAATTTGAAGGTGCTGGTGGTGTTGAAGCAGTGGTCTCTGATGCGCTTGTTGAGGAGGTAATGGAGCGTGTCTAAGTCTCTGTTATGGCCGGCGGCGTTGACAAGGTCGTCATAGTAGGCGGAGGTTGGCACTTCCGGGAAGGTGGAGAAGGAAGCGGTGGAGGTTAGGGAGACAAGAGATCGGGGAATAAGGGGTTTGGGAGCGAGTTTGCGAAGAAATGAGAGAGACATTGGTTTTCTTTGGTAGGGTTCAACGAAGAAAGGAAAGTCAAAAGCGAGGTTTTACCACATTAATTAAGGAAATCAGGTGGGCTCAGTCCTAATACGCCCATTGGGTTTGGGTTTGGTTTAACCTCGGGCCATTCGAGGTAGTTTTGTGGATTTAGAAAGCCCCAAAATTGAAAGGGGTGGGAAGTTCTTAGTTTTTACTATTTTCTTTACAATTTTTAATACAAAACAATTACCTTCGCGTAAAAATTAAGCCACCACGGAGGAGCGCGCTCTCGGACTCTATTTATTTTCTTGCGATAACTTTCCTTTCTCCGTGTACGACTCAGACTTTCAGCAATGGAAAGTGTTGTCGAGGACAACTCAGGGGATATCGAAGCCATGCTTCTCTGTTTTGCTGATGATGACAATGATTCTTCGATAGCTTCTTCTGAACAAGTATCAGACGCTGTCTTTTTGTTATCCGAATTATTCACTGAGAGCCCTGTGGAGAATGAGTTGAACGACAAGAACAAGAACAAGTTGAATTCGTCAAGTTTGTTGGGGAAGAGAAAAGAAAGGAGAGAAAACAATGTGGGGTTTTGCAAGAAAGTGAAACAGAGTACAGCTAAGACTGTTAAAAATCAAAATCTGAGTACTTCTTCCAGTGATGTTGTTGATGATGTGATGACGGCTTTGGATGATAAACAAGCTAGATTATTGACAGATATTCAAATAGCGGACAGTGAACTAGAAGAAGGTGAAGAATTTGATGAAGGGTTTTTGTCTCTTGATGATCTTGAGGGAAATCTTGGGTTTGACAGGGATTCATTTCATCAGATGGCTATTCTAGATGAAACATCTACGGAAATTCCAGACTTGGAGGACGGGCTTAGTTATGATGAGATGCTGGAAATTTTATTCAGTAATGATGATGAGAGAGACATATCTCCTGATGAATTTCTACTGCTACTTACTGACATTCGAAGGTTTGAAGGACATGATGAAGAAAATGAAGAAGCTCAATCTATTGGCTATTTCAACGACAAATGATGAATTTGATGAGATCGATTTGTCCGTTAAATGAATTTATTAGGACATTGTAATTGTGATCGCCTCATTTTTCTGGACATGGGAGCAGATCAATGTTAGGCATTCGTTATAGGTTAAGAGATTCACTTTTATTCTTGTTGTAAATCTGTTGGTCTTCAAAGGTTGTCTTTTTATAGTTACTGTTGTCGCCCATCTCGGGGTTCATTATTTTGAATGTAATTTGCCTTCATTGAGTTATGAATCTTGGCTTGTTTATTATCTCTTGAATCTATTTCCTCTATTCACCATAAGATTAGCCAGGAAGTTTATATTCAAGCCACAATAATAATCTTCTAAAACATCTTTTGATTGAAATCCAGTATCAAACTAGGTTCATCAACATACCAAACTGCTATTCTTTTTATTATCTCTTGCACTAATTGTTTATCTGATATTATGTCTTTTAGTTTTATTTAGGGTTTCATTGGCATGTTTTATGAAAAGCCGCTTAATTTACTTACTATAAAAATGAGTTTGAATGACTTAAAAGTCCAATGCATGCCGCATTTTAACAATCACGTTCTGAAAGCTAGAGTCTTGAAGCAAACAATTTTGAAGGCGTTAATTAATTATGCATCCAAATTTGTCACAAATTCCTATCCTAAACCTCAGTTATTGCTCCTATGATATTGAAGAAAGCAAAGATGCAAAATATGAGAGAATAGAAGGAAGGCAACGAAACACACATATACAACGCCCAGTAAATTTCCGTTTACGATCAGCTCTACTCGAGTGATTATGGAAATTGGAAATGAGTGAGTGGTCTCTATAGCTTTTTCTTTTTTTCATTTTTCAATAAAATAACTATAAGTCGTAAATTTATAGTATTTTTCCACATTTTCAAATTATATTATTTATCATGCTTAATGGTTTTTAGTAATCTCGTCACTACACATTAGAAGATAGCTTGGATATCAATCTATTTGTTTGGGTAAGTAGTGGTAACTAATTTCTCTTCAACGCAATCGATTTTTCCATTTGAAAAACTGAAGAGTATTTTGTCTTCCCCTACTTCCAAAAGATGTTGTTTACAAAACTTTGGTTTTTTCAATGAAAAAACTATAGACATCTGCATTTTCATGAATCGAGTGTGTCCGTAGATAATCGAATCTTACAGTTTAATTGGCTATTTATGATTGCTCAGATTTGCTTTCGTTTGACTTTGATGTCCCATCCCCCTATCTCGATTATGTTATTTTTGGAAATATTACAAGTATTTAGATAAAAAATAATAATAATACTGTTTAGGAAAAAAAATAGAGAAAAGAAATTGTTTCAAAAAGACATTGTAAGGCAAACACCTTTAAAATTTTCCCTAAATGGATCAAAACTCTTCTAAATTTTTTAATTTATTTAAAAATTAGTCCTTAAATTTTTAATTTCTGATTTGACCTTATATACATAGTCTACTTTTTAGTTTTATGTAAAAAAAAAATAATGATCACATAAATGTAAAAATTATATGAAAATCATGAGGTAAAAATTATCTAAAACTTCCAAAAGCATCTAGAATCGTTCTAAATTATTTTCTATTTTTTTCGATTTTTTACATTTTTAATGTTTAAAAAATAAAAAAATATGTACTTTATGATCTTTAAAAAATCTATAATTTTTTCAAAGATGGATTGAATTTTCCCAATGTGTGCAAAACTTAACTGAAAATACCAAGAACCGATTTTTTAAAAGTAAGGGGTGATAAATGAAAATCATAAAATAGATTAAATCTGAAAAAAAAATCCAAAAAAATCAAACCTGAAATTAGAAGATCAGACCTTGGATAAAGGAATTTGATAAGAGTTCAGGCCTGTCTAACCTCTGTTCTCCGATACTTTAGAAAAGAAGCAGCAACGGTAACGGCCAATGCTAGGAGAATAAAAGTCATCATGCTCATCAGTACCTTAAGAACGTTGAATCGATTAAACTGTGTGAATTGAAAACCAGAATTTTCGCAATGGTTTTTGGTTTTCAATCAAACAATTCAGGATACCTCTTGGATTATTGTAATTTTCTTTTCATTAATTGCTATAAATAAGATGAATTAAATAAGATCAAATCACATAATGTTACTTAACTTTGAACGGCCACCTATACGTTGGATGCATGATTCCATTCTGAACAAACCAATAAGCTTGTCCTCCCTAGTTGCTATTTACAAATAAACCCAATTGACATGACAATAGACCAGTTCAAAGACCAGCAATTAACTGGCAGATCAATTCCCACATTACAAGTTTGGTAGAAATAAAGATGAACTGCAAGGAACATTGAACCCACCAAAAATTCCTTGCTCACAACTCCAGAAAAAAATTGGAACAAATTCGTTGTAAAACAAGAGGAAAATGATGAGCATGTGCACAAATAGAATCTTGTGTGGCACTACGATCCAAAACATACATCACCAAAATTCCTTTCGATCCTCAACAAAGCTAATTAGGTAAACTCTATTAGCTAGATTCTGATATTGATACATATGCTTACAATCTAAATCTTTATGTTGAAATAATCTGGATCGAAGTGGTGCAGCCTGACATAACCATCCTCACCTCCACTTGAGAAACTACAGGTTTGAAATGACAGAAAATAACAAATACATCAGACACATTCAAGGGTAATTAAGAACTGAAATTATTATTATTTTCTTCTCTCTTCACCATCCTCAAAACCCTGACATGATGGCTTTCGTATAAAGACCAATGCCAACAGACTAGAGGTGAGGCCGGTAAAGCTTTGATATTATTCAAGGAACAGAATTCAACTTATATTTCACTACTGTATACACGGGCAAGGCACCTGCTATATGACGTTCATCAATAGATATTGTTGGTCTAGTTCAGCTCAGTACATTAAAAAATGATGGCAGTATAATAAAATGCAGTGTGATTTTAAGATATATCATGTCAGCAAATATCGACATATAAATATTTCATTAAAGCAAATATGAAATTTAGGGTTGAGAAGAGGCCAGTGATTTGAATGTCAACATTTTCTAATTTGAGTAGCATTTATGCATATACAGGTTCAACTAAGTAATTAGTGCAAAAAATCAGAAAATAACCATTGCCAGATTCCTGAATAATTGTGTTGGTAATATTGCTCAAATCTTTATGGGTGACTAATCTAACATGAAGTTCAAATTTTTTTTTTTTTCATTTTTTACCACTTGGCAAATCTGGTAGAACCTATCTCAACATTTACACACTACTCGAACAACATTTTCCACCAGTACTAATGACAGCCATTGTCTACGCCTTGAAAGTACCACTTTTGAGTTTTCGACGACCTTGTTCAAAAACAGTGCAAACCACCTAAGTTAATTTACAGCAAGACCAAGAGGACTGCTTTACCATCATCCCCACAAATATCAGCCATCTGATAGTGCCAGCACTACCAAGAAGGCGCCACCACTTCAGGATATCATCCATAACATTATATAAATCTTAAATAAACAGTTATAAATTAAACAGCTTTGGCAAAGAAATTCATTTGGCAGGTCAGCGTGGTACTTGATTCATATATACATATGCATTATCCATAGCTAAAGCTAATGAGTGCTATGGCAAAAAACTTCATTTGGCAGGTCAAGCATGGTATTTGATTCATGTATACACACATTATCGCAATCTAAAACTAATGAGTGCTATAGCAAAATCCATATATTATATGTGTGTGAGTGCTCACAGAAGAATTAATTGTTTAAAAGTACATAAAAAGGGTAGTGTGGATTGTGCAGAAAGATGTGTGTTAAAAAATGGAACCCCATTGGATAATCCTATCCAATTAAAATTCATTGACACCAATATAAGAAGTATGACAGAATAAGATAGCAGAAACTATACCTTTTCCCATCAGGGTTGAACGCCAAAGCATTTATAGGTCCAAAATGACCTTTAACACCACCAATTTCTTCTTGAAGAATCTACAAAAGAAAAAGGTGAAACAAGACAAATTCAAAAGGTTGCACAACCACAGATCGTCATATCATTAAAAAAAAGACATTCATCAGCATGAAGTAACCTTATCATAGAATTTGGCTTCGAACTTCCCAGCACGGTGATCGGTTGTGGTGACAGATGATGCATCCTGACCACCTCCAAGTACAACCTGCAAGCACAAAGGGCAGTTAGGTCCTAGCATAATGAAATGAAGAAAAAAGGAAAAGAAATTACACAAATGATCAGCTTCTATTTATCATAACCATCAACCCAAAAAAAAAAGCCAAAAAAAGGCCCAATTCCAACTGATTTTTTTTTTTTTTTTTTTTTGGGCATGAAATGGATGGCTGCTGTAAATAAACGCTTGTCAGCCCTCCAAAAGATAAGCTCACAAGGTTTAAGGTAATAACTATCATCTGCCTCCCATGATAGATCTCGCACAAATTTTGGTTGATAATAACTATGCACTTCACAGCAATTACAAAACCAATTCATTTTACCAAAATGATGCCCATTACAAGATTGTAACTAATTTTTCACTAATTGGGAAAAATTTAGCATTGATTATAATATTTAACTGACAATATGGTGGGAATTGATCGACAAGATATCTTCATCAGCACAGAAAAATATGGTATGTAAAGAAAAGGAATAACAGGGCTACAGCCTATAAACAGTAACATTTTCAAGCAGCAAGACTCTATAATTGAGTCTGAAAGAATGATGAACAAGGTTCAAAAAATTAAAAAAAAGTACAATGCAAAGAGCAGTAAGAAAAGGTTTTGTTATACATACATGATCGAGAAGTGGAGACATTGCAACAGCATTAACAGGGCGTTCTGTTGCATAGGTCTTGATAAGAGTTAAAGTTCTGGTGTCCCAAAGCTAGAAAGTTGCAGAAAAACAAGCAAAGGAAGAGATTGTCAACCCACTTTTACAGCAAGAAAATATCAGAAAAGAGAAAGTAAGAAAGTCAGACACTCTACCTTAGCAGATTTATCAAGAGAACCAGTCAGGAAGTGAGAACCATCAGCAGATTTTGTGAGTGATGTTATCTGTTTCTTATGCCCAACTTCTGGGTCCGACTCTTTCAACAATTTTCCAGTCTGCAAGTTTTATAAGAGACACAATATAAACTCACATCAAACCAACCAACAACAAAAATGCAACAAAATGTCAGAGCTGGTGGTAAAATGAACGTGAAAAATTCAAACTTTAAATAGTCCATTTCTTATACTTTCAATAAAAAAAATAACAACTCGATAGATAGACAGCATATAAAAGCATGCAGAAGAACAAGCAAATGCCAACACACATTCACAGGACAGATTCAGCAACTGTTTAAAAGAAAAAGTCAATTCACCCAAAAGTTCCTTTTCCAAATAGAAATTTCTGAGAAGAGCTTTAGACTTGCATATTGCTCCACTCTACCAACACTTACGACATCTCATGTAAATCAGATATTGTATAATCCAATCAAAGCCATGTCTCATGGCAGATTCACACCATTGACCTCCAACCACAAGTTCTCCCAAATATCTGTATTCCTAACCACCTTAAAAAGCTTTGACGGATTTTGTCTAAACAGCAAATTACCATACCAAATACCCTGCCAAAATAAACACTCCTTAGGGGGTCCTTCACTCTAGACAGATGTCAGATCTAGAAGTATTTCTCACTTTCTGAGATCAATTAGACAGAAACATTGGAAGCTTTTTAGCTCTCTTTTTAGGCTCTCCAATGCAACATCAATCTGAGCAACATGCCAACAAAACCTATGCACGAAACTTGAAAAGAACAAAAAAGTACAAAAAAGTTCCATCTTTTCTTCACTTTGCAAATAGTTTTACAAAAACTTTAACATTTGATTTTGTACTCTTAAAATATACAAGTCTTCCAGGTCAACCAATAATAAAATCAGATAATCCGGGGGACGCTGGTCATGGGTCCATTTTAACAGTCCCAATATGGGACCTATTACACCCCAAAATCTTGAACTTCTCTTGTGGAGTTGAATTTAAATTTGAGTTCTCAAAAACCCAGGTCTACACGAATATTTCTAAGCCTTCTGGCCACAAGAAAATTAGCTTAGAGACAATCTTTTGTATCTTCTAGATCAATTCAGGGAGTTTATCAAACCCCCTAGATGCTCTACATCAAAATAAAAATAATAAGAATGCAAAAAATAGTAGCCAGATACCTCGGAATCCCATATGCGAACCACAGAATCCTCTCCACCACTTATGATAGTCTTGTTCAGAGGTCCCCAAACAGCCCTGTTAATTCTTCCCGCAGGTCCGGTGATGGTGAGCACGGATTCACCACTCTCTACAAAAAAGAGATCATTACGTCATGGAAAAAAATAATATGAGCTATATCAACATTCACTAACTTACGTTGGGAAGGATCCTCATCAATGCGTTTAACATTAATGGCAGAAGTAACTCCCATGAAGGGATCAGTGGTAATAACAGCAAGCTTATCACCAACAGAAAAATCAACAGACCGAGCCGGGGAATTGAAACTAAATGTGTACAATTGTGCTCCAGTCTGAACATTCCAGAGCTTCACTGACTGATCCGCACTAGCAGTAATCAGCAGCATCGAATCCCCTACATTATTTAAGCAAATAAAACATTAACATACTAAAACAGCACAAAAAAAAAAAAATTGAAGCAACAAATTTCGTAATTTAATCTAAAAAAAAAAGATAAAAATTCAATGAGAGAGAGAGATAGGAACTTGCTTGATACATCGCAACACCAAACGGCGCCGTTGTGACCACGGTAAGTACCTAAACGCTCGCCGTTGTCAGCGAACCAGACTGTGGGATTATGATCTTTAGCACAAGAAAACAAGAGATCTCCTTCTCTGTTGTATTTTAAAAACGTTAAGGGCCTTTCATGCCCTTTCATCAAAATTGGTCTCATCTTTTTACTCTTTTTTATATTTTAGAGAATTTTCCTTTGTGTTGTGTTCGATGATTCGCAAGAAGAAGAAGAACAAGAAACTTCACGTTACCAACAGGAAGCAAGAATAGCTAGGGTTTTCTTTCTTATTTACGAAGGAGAGAGATATCTTCTGTGACTCGATGGGCCAGGGCCACATATTAGGCCCTTTCACTTCTAGACGTCCAGTCCAAGTCCTGCTTGTTTTCTAATTAATAATTTATTTATTTTTAACTATTTATATTTCTTATAGATGTACGGCCCTCTTTTTTCTTTTCTTTTTCTTTTTTCTTTTCTTGAAACTAATGAATTACTCCTTCCAGTTCAAAAAGAGATTAATTTATAATTTTTTTACAGATTAAATGGGTCAAATCTTTGCTGAACAATAACTCATTTAAAATTGAGTCTCTGAATTTTAAATTTAGTTTCTAGAATCTCTAAATTTTAAATTTTTTAAAAAACTTAGTTCATCTAATGTTTTCAGTTATCATCTTTTTCTCTAAAAAATTCAATTTTTAGTATTTTGGGTTGAAATTTTACACAAATATTAAAAAAAAAATCCAATTCATTATCTAAAAATATCTCAGAATTTTTTAAAATTAAAAAATATATTTATTTTTTAAAATATTAAAAATATACAAAATTAAAAGAAATAAATAATAACTCTGAAATTATTTCATATTTTTTAAGACCCTATATAACCCTCATTGAATGATTTTTATCATGGAACTATTCATTTGACTATTATTTTTTGGATTAATAACGGAAAACGAAAAGATAGGCTAAATTTTAAAAAATTAAAAATTTGAGATCCCAATAACTAAATTTGAAATTTAAGGACCCAATAACCAAATTTGAAGTTTAGGAATTCAATTTCAAATGAGTTAAAATTGAGAAAAATTTTTTTGACTCATTTAACATTTTCTAAAAAAATAAAGGGATAAAGTAATAATTAACTCTTTTAATAAATTAAGGAGGAAATTATAAATTAATCCCTCTAGTTTTTGAAATAAATTAAATGATCCCTCTAGTTTTAAAAATAATTAATTAATTCTTATATTTTTAAATATGTTTGTAACTTATTTTTTTCGATCTTTTCAATTTTTGTTTAATTTAAAAGATAGAAAAGGAAAAAAATGGAAAAATTAGTTAGAAAAGAGAAATTTTTTAATTAAATAATTATTAAATTAATTATGGTCAATACTAGTCAAGAGACTAATTAACTAGTTTTTAAAACAAAAAAAATTATTTAATTCGTTTTGCAAAATTAGAGAGAGTAATTTATAATTTACTCCTAAATTAAGAGTATATTTATTTTTATTTTCCAAATTTAATTTTTAATTTCACATATATCAAAAAAAAAAAAAAAAAACATGTAAGCTATTTTTAGCGTGTTTTGAATACATACTCCTCATGCGACCTAGATTTTGTTGACAAACTAGGTTGGCTGATAGGAAAAAAAAAAAATAGATGGGTAGAATTGGAGTTCGAATCTTAGTTTTATATTTTTTTCATATAATTTTTTTTTCCCCTAGAATCCCTTACGGGAAAAAGACATTTCTACTCGAATTATAGCAGCTGAACTTGCCCCCATTATGCAAGAGTTGATCCAATAAGAATGGCAATTATAAGTCGAAAAGTATATTTATTACTTAAGTATCGTTTGATTACCGGAAATAAAAAATCTGAAATAAGAATCCAAGAATCAAAATAAAAATTAGGGAATCGTAATGATATTTAGATTTTTATATTGTGTTTAAAATACTAATGAAATACGAGAATGCAATTTAAATTTTTTAATATATAATTCTTTATACAAATAAAAATAATTTTATCAAACTATAATGGTTGTAAAAACAATAAAGGTGATAGTAATAGTGGTGGTAAAAATAGTTAATGAAAAATAAATAAATAAAATATATTACTATTTTGAAAAAAAAAATTCATTCTCATTCTTTGTTTTTATTCTCACAATTTTAATGAGAATAAATTTGTGTGTAATTTTTATTCTCACCCCTACTCTTTATTCTCATTCTCACTTCATTCTTTTCTTTTCATTCTCACTTCATTCTTTTCAACCAGACAGCTTATAATATAAGAATAAAACTTCAATTCTTACTACTCAATTTCTAATTACCAAACAGCACCTTAGGGTATTAGATCCAGTTACAGCTCCTGAAAGAGAAATCTAAAGGGTCTAGCTGAGTAACCCAGCCAGAGTTCCTCCTGTGACATGATCATTAGCACCACCATAAAAGGGAATAAGCCGAACAAGTTGTAAGCATGCCGCATACGTAATGCATGTAAACTTCACTCGGAAAGAGACACCATAAAATAAAGCAAGATTTGATGTTTGATTAAAATGCAGAAGCACAAGCGTGGTATATTACAAGCAAATTAAGCCAATAAATATACTAGACATTCCTTTGTAGCTGGAACGAAATAATGTAACACTAGGATAGTCCTTGCTTATGTACAAACCGTTATTAATTAAATCTTTCCCACGTGGCCACCGGGCCATCTCTCTTGTAGACCTCAGGCGGCCTTCTTCTGTTTATATTTGTTGGCACAGACAACGTAGATCAGCATGTTGAGGATGCTCAGTCCAGCTAAAAGCCAGAAGAAATAATCAAGGTGCCCCTCATTCAAGTTATCGGGGATCCATCCTGGCTTCCCACCCGTGGTTGTGAAGTAAGTTACCATAGTCAGAATAAAAGAGCTCAGGTAATTACCTAAAGACGTCGTCAGAAGTGACAATGCACTGCATAAACTCCGCATGGCATCTGGAGATTGTTCATAGAAGAATTCAAGCTGACCAATGAACGTAAAAACTTCTGAAGCACCAACCAACATATATTGCGGGATCTGCCAAAAAATACTAATAGGCACTGCAACAGCTTCGTCAGCCAACCCAAGCTCTTTTGCAAGCTGTAGGCGCTTAATCTCTACCAATGCAGCAGCTGTCATTGATAACATTGAAATGAACAAGCCAATTCCCATACGCTGCAACTCTGAGAAGCCCCTCTCGTTGCCTGTGAACTTCCTTGCAATTGGAACAACAATCCTATCATAGATTGGCACCCAGCAAATAACACTAATAACATCAAATGTTGACAGAGATGCAGGAGGAATGGTGAAAGAACCGATTGTCGTGTCCATCAGCATCCCTTGTTCCACAAACATAGTAGACATTTGGGCATAGACAGCAGCAAAGACAATTCCTGTAGCCCAGATTGGAAACATGCGGATTAAAATCTTCAATTCCTCCACCTGTGTGACAGTGCAAAGCCTCCATGAGTTGGAGAAGTTCCCACTTTTGATCTCATCCTCTGACAGCACAGCAGCTTTATCAAGGCATCTACATGAAATAGCAATTCTGTTATAAATTCTTCCACGCAAAGATACTATAGGATATCAGGGCAATACAAATGTGTTATTGCATTGAGGCAAAAGACAGATATAAAGAAACCTTCTTTCCACTAATCATTTGGGAAACCGAGATGATATATATGTAAGGATAAGAGAAGAATTCTAGAAGAATAAATTTGCTCTCCAGTTTTTTCTCCAAAACTACACAAGACGAGAAGTTTCACAGCAATGGAGTACAGGTAAGAAATTATACATCCATCAGCAAATGTTCCCAGCAATCTATCCAAGTGGAAGTCTCACTATTCTTCTGCTACTAGATAAAGAATAAATAGAGAGTGTTCCACCAGATAATAATGCATTAGTTAAGCCTCTTTTGCTGCAGTTAATCCTCAACTCAGATATTATATATATATATATATATATATATCAATTTAAATTTCAGCAAATGCAACACAGATGCCACAATGAGAAGTTAGAAGGTGAGGAGGGAGCAAATTTTTTATGATTGCTTTTTTTTTTTTTTTGGGGGGGGGGGGGTGTGGGTGGGGAAGGGGGGTTGGTTAGGTAAAGGAAGGGGCTTAAAAGCCCAGAAAGCAACTACATGTAACACAACACAACCTAGGAGTTACTACACCCTTTATATCCATCTCCAGAAACTGATCCAGCTTAGGAGGAGCATTAACCATATAACCTGGTCTATTTCCAATTTGCACAACCATATTAGCCAAAGCATCGGCACAAGAACATGATACACATGATAAATCTCCACTCTCCAATCATGTTGCAGCAGCTGCAGAGCCTTGTTACATAAGCCAACAACCCCAGCTGCTTTGCAGTTGGTTTAGTAAGGATGTGAACAATAGAAAGTGAATCAACCTCTAAATGCACCAGAAGAAAATTCAATAACCAAGCAAACTGAAGCCCTGGCATGACTGTTCACAACTCTGCCACAATAGCAGATGTTATCCCCACCAGGAAAGCAAAACCACCCAGCCAACTGCCATTAGAATCATGAATCAAACCACCTGACCCAGCCATACCAGGACTGCCTGTACAAGCCCCATCAGTGTTTACTGTCACCCACACTGGTTCATGAGGAAACCATCTAATAAACCCCATCCCCTTATTAGGAGCAAGACGAGGATTTTGTAAGAGACTTCTAGCATCCTTGATTTCATTGACATTGCACCTCATCTCCCAAACATCTGTCTCCACTAACATCTGTTTTCCTTCAAAACCTGTGCTATTAAATTTAGCAGTGTGCTTATGTTGGACAGAACAGCGCTTACAAAAGTGCAAGCCTACAGAAACATGACTGGTTAAAAATTAAAACAAAAGAGTAATTAAACTCCACCGAGAAAGATAATTTTCTGTGTATTCTTCATAGCACCTTTCATAAACACTTATATGAGTTTGTTGGTTATGCTAAGACTATTTCAAATAAGGCATTTTAGCATTAGCTAGACAGACCAATATTCAAATTTAATGATCAACTCTTGCATTTGTCTACAAAACAAAACAAAAGATTCAACTTCAGTAGGGTGTTGAAACTTCAAAACCCCTCTTTCTGATTGTGCGTATTGAATCACTTAATAACTAGCAATTTTGATTAGAAAAATCAAACCAACATCAAATCAGAATGGATTGTTCAGAACTGAGGAGTAAATGAGCTAAGAAAAAAGAAGAAAATACTTTAGTTCATCGCTGTGCTCCAGTTTCCGGCTTCCTTCAATGGCAGAGTGTTTTTCTCGTGTTTCATACAGGAGGCTACTGTCTTGAGGGACCTCCATATTCCACTTATGGAAGGATGCAATCAAAACTTGGCACATCCTTGTAACAGGGCTTCCCCCTGGTCTCTGAAATCTGTAAAGGGGTGTACCTGAAAAGAAGCTAGCAATAGCTATGCCCATGAACAGAGCAGGAATTCCAAATCCTAGTCCCCACCCAGCATTGTCTTGAATATATACCAGGAAACTACTCGATATAAGAGCACCGATATTGATAGAAAAATAGAACCAATTGAAGAAGGATCCTTTCTTTACCCGTTCCTTTGGATCAGTGTCATCAAATTGATCTGCCCCAAAGGATGAAACACATGGTTTGATGCCACCAGTCCCAAGAGCAATCAGATAGAGGCCAAAAAAGAATACTGCATACTGAGCTGGAGTTGCTGGAGGGCACAGAGAACCTACGCATTCAGCTGGCTTTAATGCTGGAATAGATGCTGAAAGACTCAACGCACACATTCCCTGCAGCAATTTTCATGTACAAGTTAACCAACGCCGCAAAAAAACCATATAGAATCCATCCAGCAAAAGAGAGTAATGCATGTTTAAAAAAATATAGAACTCACTCGATGCAGTAGATACACCTAACGCATAAAAAAATCGCAAATTCAACAAAACTTCATCCAGACTCTTCGTTAAAGTTTACATGGTTAGTGGCACAATCAAAACAAAAAACATTTCCATTCCTAAATATTGAACATGGCCTCCTGGAACAAACCCTGAGAAAGGAAAGTTTATAAAAGTAAAAACTATAGTTCAGCAGGAGTAGCCAAAGCTATTAATGATCCTTAATATCCTTTTATCAAACTATTTTCAAAGCATAGCCACCGCAACTAAATCATGTTACTTACTTTTGTGATTCCTAAGTCCTTTAATACAAACTGTAATCTTAAGAAACGGGGCTACTCCAACATGCTACATAATATTGTTAGATGCTCATTTAGAACACTATGAGTAACAGTGATCTACTTACAGCACAGATAGATGTGTTCCTTCATTATATTCAAGAATACCTCCATGGCATAATTATGTGGTTGTGACTGAAATTCCTTGAATAAATCACAAAAATCAAGTGTATTTTTTTTTCAAACATTTAGCTAGCTATAAACTTTGCATGATAATTATCAAAATTATTAAATTCCTAAGAAATAACTGAATTGAGAGAAAGAAAGGAACTGAATTAAATAAAATTAAAAAAATTAAGAAGCATCTTCTACCTCATCCAACCATAAATTCTTGGCCTTAGAATAAGCTCAGTAGATTTTCTACAAAGGTATTACTTGATCAGCCCGTTATATAATGGAGCGTTACATGGTGCTTAGGAGAGAGCATTTATAATATATTCCAGTAATCACTAGCCTTACTTTTGGTACTCTTATGAATGAGATATTTGAGATCTTCAAAAAATTATTTCGAACAACAGGCCCAAATTCATCATATGCTTGCAGTAAACAAAATGAAAAGAAATAAGAGCCAAAGGTAGCTCCATCGACTTTGAGAGATGTGAGCATGAATGGGAGCTATATGGTCATGCATTAGAAATGAAGTATTGATCAGAGTTTTAGGCAAAAAATAAAAGCAATGAGTTCAGTTTCATAATTACTATGAAGTAAATTGTGGAGAAAGCAGCAATTGTCCAATATCTTCCCCAATACGCATCTGCTAGCACGGCTCCAATGAGGGGTGTAAGATAGCAAGTGCCTGCCCAGGTAGTAACATTTCTTGCAGCTGACACATTTCCTTCATGTAGCTTGTTGGTAAGATAAGTGACAAGATTAGTAGCGATCCCATAGTAGGCCAAGCGTTCACAGCATTCAGTACCTGTATGTGGTATGATAAAAGTCAGAAAGACAATAGGATACTTAATCATCCAACAAATGCGAAGTATAATAAACATTACCCAGTATGAAAGGGCATGCTTTCCAGTTTCCAGTTTTGTGCCTAAGGACAGGCTTCCCGTTAACGTCAACGGAGCCATCTCCTGTGTAGAGTCCCTTGCTTTCATCCTGGAAATATAATATGAAACAACATGTGAGAGAGACGTGGTGCAAGACCCAGATTGGTTTCTGATTTTTAACAACTTGTTAAAGTGTCCAATGGGCATCTATAATGACCCCAGATAATTAAATGAACTAATATTTTGGCCCTGGTTAAAAATGGCACTAACCCTTTTAAATGACACCAAAAACTAGAAGGTAAGACAGGCTCACTCTACATGCAGCATGGACACAATTACAGGGCAGGAACACAACACTCCACCTATATGGCAACAGACAAAATTCTAAGAAAGCGAAATGGTCGATTGACAGCAAAGACACATACCACACATGCAAATCACAGAGACTGTTCAGATAAACTGCTTTTTAAATTTGACTAAACTGCAGTTCACAAGAACAAGATGATTTAAGAATTTGTTTCATTTTCATGTCCTTTTTTTTTCACTAAAACTCTATGTTAAGCAAACTTAGCTATAAGTATCAGATATAGGTAAATTTCCAAACATTTGACCGAATAAAAATCAAATTTTCTGGGACTTGATACCTCAATCTAGTTAAATATCTATACCCTCATTAGAAAGTGAACCCAGCATGTCCAAATTGGAGATGAATCCTGAATTTTTATTATTTAGGACTCTAATCAATATATGATAAAGGCTTGGTACCTCAACCACAAACATCTTTAATCTAAGCCATCTGTCAACTAATGCAGCATCAAAGAAGAAAGCCATATATATGAGTGCCAAGGATGAACTAGGCACCTAGCAAAACCAAATTTATATATATAAAAACATGATACTAACCATGATTGCACCCTATGATACCCCAACATAAATTTTTCTATGCATTAATTGAAACTTGGTAGTCAATAACCAGCATACTGGAGAAAGCATAGCAGTACATTGCATAAGCCACCAATCAAAAGACAAACACAATCCCAATGTTCTATAATCAGAGGCCGTTGCCATCACAGCCGCATGCAAGTGACCAGAAAATGAAGCTTTTCATTGCATGTAAAAGCTGTTTGAGTTCCGATTCAATTAACATCGCTCTATGAGAAAAAAAGGAACCAATTCCATGATATTTTAATAGAATTCTAGTTCCAAGTTATAATTGAATATCATTTTTAACATGTATGTATATGCTGGAGTGGATGGAAGCAAAATCCATTATTTACAGTTTCGTTTCACCACAATTACTAGCAGACTTAATGCATCAAAAACCCAAAATTCATCCTAATTCTCAATTTTATTTTCCATTCAAAACTTTATAGGACAATAGAAGAGAAAAACACCAGAACCAAGAAACAAGGTTGTACAACATGTAGCTAGGTACCAATTCTAACAGAGATATTTCTGACCTTTTTAAAAAACCTTCAAAGTCCGGAACTGATTTGGGAACAGTGAATTACTAATAAGAATCTTTCAAAGAAAGAGAAGAATGAGAAAGATAGAGATACCTGTTGAATGAGTCCATCCTCCAAGAGCGGTGACTGTTCTTCCAGCGAACCCATCTATCTTGTTGTGTTTCTCTTCTCTGCTCTCCTTTTTAACCAATAAGGTTCCGATCACAACTCCGATCAAAAAGATAAAATCTAATCCGATCGATCTACCCTATTCACACTCCACAAGCAACAACAGGCATTGGGAGAAAAAGACACCTCTTGCATTTATATCGTTTTTAAAAAAATAAAAAAAGAACAAATGACGTATTCATTCCCCAATTATCATCCAATTATTAATTGCATCCCCCAACAAAAACAATCCCTAATTGGGTCACCACCTATTTGATCTCATTACCCAGTTGCTTAAAGTTTTTCCCTTTAAAATCATAAAAACAGACCTATTTGTCTTAAATAACGTTCTTCTTATATTATCAATAAAAAAGTTCTTTTTGTCATAAATTTTAATGATGATGTCCAATACATATGATGCAATTAGAAAAGTTTTTCAATTAGGTATTCAATTGATAATCATGTTGTAGTATAAGTATAAACATGTTCTTTAGTCTTAAGAACATAAAAAAATAGTTTAGCCCAATGAATCTTTGAGATGACGTATGATCTCAACAAAGCGTAGTTGCAGAGATCCCTTCCCGAGGAGGTATCTTACGTAATCTCATTTGTTGGAGTTTGAACTTTCGAAGTTTGAACAATCAACTTGTTTTGGTTAACTTAAAAATACCCCTAAACTATATGCTTGTTAACAATGTCATCCTTTATTGGATCAATTAAATTAATTTTACCTTTGACTTATCTTAGCGTTTCAATATCACTCTGTCCACGTTCCGTAAGAAATAATTAATGAGGATTAATGGACAAATAAGTCGCAGTAACGGAATACAAAAAAATCATCTCGATTCCTCATTATTATCCACTCCAATTACCTTACCTTTGTTTTAGAATTTAAGTAACTCTCTCTCTCTCTCTCTCTCTCTCTCTCTCTCTCTCTCTCTCGTAATGAATTTGTTAATAGAATGTGAGGAAATATAATGATACTTTTAAAGGATCAATAGCATTTAACTTCTCTCTATTTTTTTATTTTTTAATGTGATTTTTGTATTTTTTATTTATTTAACATTTTATTTTTATTTTTGAATTTTTATTCATGTGTTCGTCTAACTATTTTCAGTCAATTTTTTTATAAAAATGACACATGATAAAAAAATTTATCATGTAATATATCATGTTAGATTAATTTATCACATGACAAAAATTATAAAAATTAGAAAAATTGCTAAAAAAAATAGAAAATTTAAAAGAGAAAAAAAACAAACTAGGCAGATTTTTTTATAGATTTAAAAGCCATTCTTTTTTTCTAAATCTCTCTATCATCAAACCCTAATCAATCAATCTGCAGTCTTCGTGTTATTTGCTCTTTGATTCTTCTTCTTTTACAATCATCATTGTCATCGCAATCGTCGATATAGAGAACCTCCGAAGATCCAAAAAGAGTAGTAACAATAATAAATCTCACTCAAAATTCGGTTATAAACACCATCATTCATCATCATCTAATTCTTATGATTCCTCTTCGGATTCTTACTCTTCCAATTTCTTTACACCAAACCCCCATGTCAAGTTTCTTTCTTTTTTCAATTCTATATTCTTCTTATTTGTAAGTACATTAACGAAGTTTTGCCTTATCTATAATGTGTACCGATCTTCTACCTTTTACATATTTAGTGCAATAGGGGATGACCTAGTTATCTTCTTCTTCATTGGAATTTCATTCCTTGTAATTCCAAGAAACTTCCTCACTTTGATTGCTAGTTCTATCACCATGTCATCCTCATGACTCGTTTATAGATTCCATGCTTGGTTCTTGGCAAAAACAAATTCAAGATGGATATATATGGTATATTCATGATGAATTATTACTCGTTGAAAAAGGGGAGGGGGAAAATCTTACCTAAGCCGGTAAGTCAAGAGACAGGAGCACTTATTATTGACGGTATGATGGAATAAGATGTTACGTTTTATATAGTTAGGTTTTACATACTTGGATTGGCTATGATTAGGATTGATAAGTAGTTAGTATAAATAATGACATAGTAATTACTAGTTAGTGTAATTGTTTCTTGGTTAGTCAAGCTAATCGTCGTTAGAGTCAATAAATTAAAATCACATATAAAAAGAGAGAAGATGGAAATTAGATTTATTCAAGCATTTACAACCGAAATAGAATTCAAATACAAATTCTCTTGTCAATCTTTTTTCTTCTTCTTCTTCTTCCTCAACCTTTCTTGATCTAATTCCGCTTTTCTAAGCCAAAGTGCATAACAAATTAGTATCAAAGCTCTTCTAGGGCCTATAAATCATCAATCATGATGGATAATAATAGGATGTGAGCAATTAAGGAGTAAAGCAAGAAGCATGAAGAACGACTTCATAGTTTACGATAAGAATTTTATGAAAATATAGAAGCAATCAAGAGACGGATGGAAGAGCAAACGTAGCGGATGCAGCTTCAATTTAAAGCTCTAATGAAGTTTATTAAGTCAATAATGGTTGATAAGGATCGAGAGAAGGAGTAGAGGTCATCTTTGAATTTCTCGTATGGAGGAAATGTGACTCCAAAACTCGTTTATCATAATAATCAAGTTATAATTCCTTCATTCCTAAAGTGGACTTGTAAATGTTTGGGGGAGAAAATCTAAGAGGCTAGGTTCATAGACGTAAGAAATTCTTCAAAATGAATTTCATTCTAGTGTATCAGCGGGTGAAATTTGCTTCTATGTATTTAGAAGGTAGAGTTGAGATTTAGTTTGAAGGATTTGTAGTTGAAAGTAATTTGGGAAATTAGGAAGAGTTTATTTGGGAGTCTGTGTAGAAGGTTTGACGATAGGAAAGATGTAGTGGAAGAGTTTAATAAGCTCAATCGGGAAAGGGATGTAAAATGATATGTGGAGAAATTTGAGGAACTCAAATATTTGATGACTATAATTAATCTATATTTGCTTGAATCTTACTTTGTTTCTATCTTTAGTAGCGAGACTTAATAAAAGATATAAAGCCTATGTTGAAGATTTTGAAACCTAAAACTTTGACACAAGCTTTTGAATAGGCAAAGAGGTAGGAAGAATCCGTGAATGCTATGGCCAAAAAGCCTATAAACCTTTCAAAGAGCTTCTCACCCGCCTATAACACCATAAGATCTTTGTCAACTCATTATCCTACCTATAACACAAACAAGTTATATACTAGTCATTTTCATAAATCTTACATTCCCTCGACCAAAACTAAACCTAAACTTGTTAATACCAACCTACTAAAAATACAACAAGATAGCTTGGAGGATCGAAGAAGAGGATGAGATTTTGTTTCGGGTATGGAGAAAAATACTTTTATGGGCATTAATGTGCTAGAAGAACATTACATGTAATGAGAGGGAAAAGTGATGAAGTTATGGATTTAGAAGAGAAGAATGAAGTAGATTGTGTGATTGATTATAGAAGATATTAAAAACATGGACTCGTCGTTGCATCTTTTAAGCTAAAAAGTATACAAATAATACCATTAAGATCGAGGGCGGTTGTAACAACAAAGAGATTAAAGTCCTAATCAACAATGATAGCACTCACGGCTTCATAAATTGAAAAATTATGAGGGAGATCAAAGCTGAAGTGGAAAAGACTACTCCTTTGTCGGTGATAATAACAAATGGTGTTGTGATAAAGTGTTTAGCCAAAAGTCCAACGCCGACTTGGTTTATGTCGAAGCATGAATTTAAGGCTAATTTGAAAATCTTAGACCGAGGAGATTGTGATATGGTGTTAAAAGTCGATTGTCTCAAAATTTACTCTCAAGTTTTATTCAATTTTATCAACTTAAAATTTTCATTTAAAAAGGATGAAAAGGTAATTGAGCTTAAAGAGATAGTGAAAAAGTTCAAGCTAATACAACTAATAACAAACAAGGTGCATAAGATACTAAAATCTATATTATGTAGATTAGTAGAGTAAATGTTTTCTATTACTACCTGTATCGAATCGAACTAGGCACTAATAGAGAGACTTGAGCATTACTATTTCAATATTCGAAAGTCTTTGTAGAACCAAAGACACTATACTAGTGAGGAGGTTGATCATAAAATTCCTTTGCTTTCTAAGGCTAAACCGGTTAACATTCGACCATATAGAATCTCCTATATACATAAAGAAGAAATTGAGAGGTTGGTTAAGGAGATGTGACAAAATAAGGTTATCCAACCAAGTTCGTAACCTTTTTTCAATTTTATCAACTTAAAACTTTCATTTAAAAAGGATGAAAAAGTAATTGAGCTTAAAGAGATAGTGAAGGAGTTCAAGCTAATACAACTAATAGCAAACAAGGTGGATAAAATACTAAAATCTATAGTACGTGGATTAGTAGGGTAAATGTTTTCAATTACTACCTATACCGAATCGAACTAGGCACTAATAGAGAGACTTGAGCATTACTTGTTTCAATATTCGAAAGTCTTTGTAGAACCGAAGATACTACTACTAGTGAGGAGGTTTAATCATAAAATTTCTTTACTTTCTAGTGGCTAAACCGGTTAACATTCGACCCTATAGAAACTCCTATGTACACGAAGAAGAAATTGAGAGGTTGGTTAAGGAGATGTGACAAAATAAGGTTATCCAACCAAGTCGTAACCTTTTTTCCTTTCTTATTTTATTAGTCGAGAAGGATAACACTTGGAGGTTTTGTGTTGATTATCACTAGCTCAACAACATCACTATTAAAAACAAGTTTCTTATTCCCTTAATTAATGATCGATTGGATGAATTCTAAGTGTCGACATCGGCCATCATGAGAGAAGGGAGCCAAAATAAAAAGAATCGCTACCTAGCTAATTGGGAAGAACTAGAAAACTTTAAACATACTAGTCTACATAGATATCTCGACAAGGGGTCGGTTATGTATGGGAAAGACATGAAGTCACCACCATCTCGTCCTACCTAAGGTAGGCTGCATTGTTTGTTTATAAATATAAAAATTTAATTTTTTATTTCGTTATACTTCTATGCCTATTCAAATGAATTTATTTGATGAAAAAAATGAGACAAGATGGTTTGGGTGTAAAACGGGATAGTTTGCGCGTTTGGGCCAATCCAAGGCCAATATGTCCTACCCTAATGGAAAAAAAATGAAAAAAGATGAAATTTCAACTAATCATTAGTGAACATGACCTATTATTTATAAATAGATGATTTTTTAAAGATAGATAATCTTCTATTGGCATGAGCGACGAGTCACCGACGACTTTGCTCACATAAGTCGAAGTCACCGACGACTTCGAGTTATAATTTTGAAGATAAAAATAACCTTGTCACATAAGTTAGAAGTTATCAATTACTTTGTTTAGCTCAAGCAAGGAGCGAGATAATTATTTAGAAGCCATTGATGGCTTCATCACATAAATAGGAAGCCCACTAACAACTTCATTTCAAATAACCGGACATTAAATGAAAAATTATTTTCAAATCCACTAGCAACTTCATCACATAAGTAGGAAGCTATCGACGACTTCATTTCGATGAACTAAGCAATAAAACATAAAAAATAGGAAGTAGGGAGTAGTAAACAAGAAGCGAGGAAAACAAGGATCATGTACTAGACAAAATAATTTTCGAAACCACTAACGACTTCGTCACATGAGTGGGAAGCCACCGATGACTTCATTGCAATATTGCAAACAATCATGAAAAGTCAATTGAATCATAAAAGCCGACAAAAGTTTCATATTTGGACGTACATGCATAATAACAAGAAACGTGGCATATTATCCTTTAATGATCTTCGTTGCAATATTTCATTTTCACCACATTTAATTCATAAATTTTGCATCAAATATCATAATTTTAACCACATTCCCAAGCACACAATCATTTTTAAACATTTATCATGCTTTCAAAAATGTTGTGATTTAGGATTTTTACTCAAAAAGTTCTAAAATGTCGATGTTAGATATAGAATCAATCCTACCATTTTCGTTCTCGATGATAATTGATTATTTGATTAGCCAAAAAGGAGAGTAACTATTGGTCAATAGTGTGAGGGTGAGTACCACTTGGTGGTCAAAAACTTCCAAAGTTCTTGTAAAATTTATCGAGTTTTTAAATTTTGTAGCTTGTTTTCTTGTCAAAAATCAATCAAATATAGTCTATAACATTATGTTATTCCCGCCAACAATCTAACATAAGAAAATCTTTTTAGTCTTTCTTTTTTAATTTTTTTGTTTTTATTTTTTTCGGTAACTCAAAAAAAGTATTCGAATGGGTCGTTTTGAGGGAGATTTTGTGTCTGGTTTAACTGGTGTTTTGAAGGGTTTTTAGATGGTTTTGAAGCTAGTTTGGAGTTGTTTTTAGGGTTGCTTTGGTGATTCAAATGGGTTGTCCAAAAGGATTGCTCTGTAAGGGTTTTTTAGGCTATTGGTAACAATTACGAGGTTGATTTTGAAGGGTCTTTGCTAGGTTTTTAAAGTCCTGTTTGGGGCTAGTTTTGGGGATACTTTGTAGCTGCTTTGAAGGCTGGTTTTGAGGCTTTGAAGGAGGCTGAAGTAGGAGTTTTGATTGTTAGGTTTCGGGCTGAGTTTTTGTAAGGAAAAGGCTAGGTAAAAGAGGTTGTAGGAAGGATGTTCGGAGAGTTATTTTTGGGTAATTTTGAGGGGTTTTTAGGGTATGTTGTGGAGGTGTTTGAGGTTACGTTTAAGGTGTGTTTAGGTTAAGTTTAGAAGGAGCTAGAATGAGGCTACTTGTGGCGTGTGTAAACTCCTAGCGTGGAGGTGTGCTTGTGCTTGCGATGTAGAGGGAGAGTTATGGGTTTTGGAGGCTTGCGTGTGTGTGTGGTAGGGGCGATGAGTCGGAAAGGGCCGGCTTGTCGTAGGAGAGAGCTCGGAAGGGGTTATGTGTGGTCCGTAGGTGAGAGAAGGACACCGACGTGAGAGAGAGGGATGGTAGTGTGGCACCTCCAGACTCCTTCGTCGATTACCCAAGAGGCGTGGTCGGGTGCATCATAGTTTAGAGACCGAAGTCTCAACTTTAGTTCCATACATATACATAATGTACCGAATATCATGAAAAAAACTTACAAAATCTAATTTACAAGCAAAGATAGATCCTATAATTTTCGTGTCACACATGAGCCTTTTTCGGGAGGAATCGATAGCTTCATTATCGGCATTAGTATCACCTTTACTCGTCATGGCATGAACTAAACACGAGTGAGTCGAAGCTTAGTAAGTAAGGTGATGCACGTGATATGTATTGATTTTCCGACTTCCCCCACTTTGACTCATCCAATTTTAATTTCGGATATCCCGGGTATTAGCAAGTCTACTCTATATTTAATCTAAGTGAATCTGCAGCTCACCTTCTGCTACAACGGAATTATCCCTCGTTGTCGCCACTGTTAGCCGAAATTCATCGTCTAACGAGTGCAAGCACACGACTCGTAGTACGCACACAACTTGGACTCGTTAATACCCTTTTTATCCGGTAGGTTACCAAACCTATCCAATTTCCATTCGATTTACTTACCAAACCTCATCGTTTTCGACTCAATTTTTTTCTCAATTTAATCAATTCTCATATGCATATGATGCACGTGATGTATCATGAACTACATTCCATCAAGTTATGGGTACTAAACCCGTCAATTCCGTACCATTAAGCTCACACAAGGAATTCAAGACCCGTCTAATAGGGTTAATCCATTTTATATATCATGAACCACATTTCATATCTCATAAGCACCAAACTATTTATATCCATACCATTTTAGAAATTCAATCCATACTTGGGTCTTTATCAATATTTTCTTGGTATGATTTATCTTGACCATTTTAGTACCAAGGTCTACTAAGTGTTCCGAGGATATCCAAGTCCATTTATTTTCATCCAAACTCATTTTGTTTTAGTCCAAGCCCAATTTCATTTTATTTTAATCCAAGCTCATTTTATTTTAACTCAAGTCCATTGATTGTAATCCAAATCTCTTTTATTTTAGTCCAAGCTCATGTTGTTTTAGACCAAGTCCATATGTTTTATTTCCAAGTTCATTTTATTTTAAATCCAAACTCATTCATACATATCTTCCAAACCCATATGGTTATATTAGGGTGGTTTAGGTGTCTAACTAAATACTTAGGCTAACTAAATATCTTAAATAACAAATTTTAAGTACCTAAACTCATTTCTTTTCTTTAAATTTTGGAAATCCCTCTCCCTAAAGTTAAAGTTGAAATTTTTCTTTTTCCTTCCTAAAAATTTCCACTATATGGTACATCCAAATGATCCGTACTAAATCGGCCATAACTCTTTATATATAGATCTAAAAATCACAAAACGTTACAGAGAGCTATTAGACACATCGAGGAACAACTTTTATTGTTTGAGTTATATCCAAAAATCACTCTAAAATTACTAAATAAATCATACAAAGTTTAGAACTAAACATTTTCAGCCTTTAGTACATCTAAACAATCTGTACCAAATCGGCCATAACTCTTTATATATATATCTAAAAACCATAAAATTTTACAGAGAGCTAGTAGACACATAGATGAATAACTTTTTTCTTGAGATTTAACCAGGAATCACTCTAACATCCGTAAATAAATCACGCAAAGTTTGGAATTTTCCACCCCTAAAATTCAAAAAATTCTCTTTTAAACTTTTTGGAACACATTCCTTATCACATATGGTTATCACCAAACCAACCCATCACACATGTATAACCATCCATCATCATATATATACATGACATATTTACAAATTCTAACCTAAAGTTTACCATGAAATACACATCCAACATTCAAAATAAATCCATCATCAAAACATCATAAATCCATCACCAAACATCAAATTTTTAACATAAACACAAACTACCATAACCATATATTACATGGCTTAAACAAACTCATAAAATAAATATGAACATTTAAATTTTTAAGGCATAAATAAAGCAAAATGAAACCTACTTACAATGATGTGTATTTGGTTAAGATTTCTTAGCCTTTTTCTTCTCTTTCTCCTTCCTTTCTTTCCTTTCCTTTTCTCCTTTCTTTCTTCCTTTTTTTTCTTCTTTCTTTCCCCATAAAACCATCCCTCTCTCTCCTCTCTTTGAAAGGTACAGTTTTGCAAAAAAAAAAAAAGGCAAAAGTTTTAAGCTTTCTTTTCATTTTTATATCACACCTTTTTAAAGCATTATTTCTTTCATGTTTTAGCATGCCAAGTGTTCAATTTTTGTGGTAAGAGAGGTCAATTGATGGAGACAAAAAGAGAGACAAGTTGAAGTGTTTAACCTTTTAAAATTAAGTAAGAAAGTACAAATGAAAGTACGGTGAAAGATTTTATGTCACATCACTAATTAAATAGAGAAACTAAAAGGTAACTAAACTAACCAACTTCCTTACCTTATTTGGTTCCTAAAATTTAGCCATGACTCGAAGTGGGACATATTTTTTACTTGCATGGTCATTTTAAATATACATTATGAAAAAATAAATAATAATTAATTAATTTTCAAAGTATTCCTATGAACAATTCCATAAATTTTAAATATTTTTACACCATAAATGTAAAAGAAATGGCACATAATTTATGCTCACATAATCATGGATATTTCAAGAGATATTTAAGCTCGGGAATTAAATTTCAGTATGTCGAATTTTTTTTTTTACCCAAGCATCTTAAACTCACCAAACACAAACATGACACAAAAATCATAATTACGACTTAGCGAGATGTAGATAAAATTATTTTCATATGTATAGCTACATTAAGTAAGTTCATGGGAGTTACAAGTAGTGTGAGGGGAATTAGAGCTGTGGGCTGGAACGAGAGGTCGGGAGGCGTGGTGGTACGCGAGGGAAGGGTCGCGTGTTGGATCGCCTAGCGTGGAGAGGAGCTACCGATGAGAGAGGGAGCAATAGGCGTGGAAGGGAAGGTTTTGGGCAAATTCTTGAGCGAGAGAGAAAAAGCTTGGGTCCGCATGTGTGGCGAGTTAGTAGTTTTTGTGTCCTATGGGTGATGATGAACAATATTTTATACTAAGAAATGCATGCAAGCTTTTAAGTTTTTTTGGGCAAAAATCCAATTCGATCCTTGATTTTCCTCTATGCATTTATTTAGGTTCAATTTCTTTTTTTGTATTTTAATTTAAGCTTCCCATTGCCAATAATTGAGACTTTTTATTTTAATTGGTTCCAATTGTATCCTTTTTAATTTTTTAAAAAAGAAATTGAAGCTTTGAATTCTTTAATTAAACCCCTAATTGTCTTTTTAATTATTTCTCACTCTTTATTTTTCTCAACTAACCCCTCTTTAGAATTAATCTAAACTCGGACTATTCTAATTTTTTTATTTTTTTTGTATTTTATTTTTTGAAAATAATCAATGAAAAATAAATAAAAGATGAGCAAAAATTGAGTGCTAACAATAGGGGTCACACTTCTTCTCCAATATTTATTTGAGAGTTGTATATCATTAGGTGAGAATACATGAGGTTAACATTAAAAAGATAGCTTTTAGAACTTACCATGGACACTATGAGTTCAAGGTTATGACCTTTGGTTTAACCAATGGCCTAGCAACATTCCAAGTTATGATAAATGCTATCCAAAACCATATTTGAGAAGATTTATCTTGGTGTTCTTCAATGATATATTTATTTACAACCCCACCTTAGAGTTGTATATTCAACATCTTGCAAAGGTATCGAAGGTTCTTAAGAGAAATGAACTATTTTTCTAGAGGTCAAAGTGTCTCATTTAGATAAATTAGTGTGGAGTATTTAGGTCATGCTATATTTGGAGCTGAAGTGGTAACGATTCAAAGAAAACAAAAGTAGTCGATAAGTGGCCCAACTACTCAATTCGTTAAAGAACTTAGAGGGTTCTTGGGTTTAGCTAGGTACTATAGAAAGTTCATCTCGCCATTATGGTTTGATCAATAAACCATTAACCACATTGCTAAAGAAAAATAACTTTTATTAAAGTGTTCAAGCTCAACAGGATTTTAAGCAATTAAAGACCATGCTTGTACGAAGCTCCAGTCTTAGCTTCTTCCTAATTTCCATAAACCTTTACATTAAAGATTGATACAAGTGTTTGTGGGGTGGGAGTAGTACTATCACGGGAAGATAGACCATTAGCTTTCTTCAGTAAAGCTTTATATCTTAAGTATGTAGGAATGTCCATTTATGAAAAAGAGTACCTAGTTATTCTAATAGCAATGGATAAATATAGGCACTATTTGAAAGCTAGCGAGTTTATTTTCAAGAATGATCATGAAAGCTTGAAGTATCTTTTAGAATAAAAGATACATACTTCAATCTAATGAAAGAGGCTCACCAAGTTATGTAAGCTAACTTATGCGATTTAATATAGGAAAAGAAAAGAGAATTTGATGGTCGAAGCACTATCCGGAAGATTTCCTAAGTCTTGTGAAACCTTTGAAAGAATGGAAGAAGCCACCTTCGAGTGCCATTATTATTGTGAAACTCATTTGGCATCAAGATATTACGGATTTTTATAATCAAGCCATCAAAGCTCAAAAGATCATTGCTACCAAAAACTTACATAATGATGCATTTCCTTAATTTTCTTATGAAAAAGGCATATTGAGATACAATAACAAATTCTTCATTAAGAATGATCGCATACTCGAGAGGTAGTTATTGGAGATTGCTCGTCATTCGGCCATCGAGGGGCATGCTTGAGGTACGTAACTCTTATAGAAGGCTTAAGAGCTCTTTTTATTGGCCATCAATGAGGTCCATGGTAAAGACCTTTGTGGCTGAATATGATATATATAAGAGGGAAAAGCAAGAAAGAGTGGCTTACCCCGTATTTCTACAACCATTACCAATACTAGATGGAGCATGAATGAATATTTTTATAGACTTTGTAGAGGCTTGCCAAAATGCGAGGGTAAAGACATTATATTAGTGTTTGTTGATAGTTTTAATAAGTATAAGCATTTCCTTATTTTTTCACATCCTTTATCCGCAAAAGACATTGCAAGGTAATTCATTTAACACATCTATAAGTTTTATGAATTACAAGTTTCTATTGTAACAAATAGAGATAAATTTTTCACCAGTGCCATTCAATTCCTTAGGCATTCAACTCCTCATGAGCTCTACGTATCATCTATAAACAAATGGTCAAACGAAAGGTTGAATCGGTGTCTAAAGACTTACTTGAGGTATGTATGTGTAGACTATCTAAAGAAGTGGCACCGGTGGCTATACTTGAGCACAATAGTGGTATAACTTAAGCTATCATTTTGTAATATAGATGGCCTTTTTCCAAGCCTTGTATAACTATCCACTACCCACAAAGGAATTTTTATTGTAGGGAATAATTTTATGGTCGTTGTTCAATAATAATTATGGGAAAGAAGGGGATTAGATCTATTCTTAAGGGCTCAATTGAACAAACCTCAACATCACATGAAGTAGATGGCCGATCAAAGAAGGATAGAAAAAGTATTTAAAGTAAAGGATCGGGTTTACTTGAAGCTATAACCTTATCACTAGATGAGTGTTGCTTTAAGAAGAAACTTTAAGTCTGAATCCTTAACATTGTGGCCCTTATATTGGTCTTCAAAAGATCGATAATGTGACTTATAATTTAGAACTACCACCAAAAATGATGCGAACACTGTCTAGGTCAATGAAGGTCAATGACTTAAGAACGCATATACAAGAAGATATGAACCACGAAAAGTCAAATCAAGTCCGGAAGGTTATGGATGCCACACTCTAAATAGGTAGAAGAAGAGTGATAAGTCACTCACTCGAATACCACAAGAGTGTTTAACTTCGATAAGTTCAAAGGCAAGGTTTTGGAATAACTTAAAATTATGAATTCTTAAAAATTGATTTTGATTCAAAATAATTGATAGGGAATATAATACGGATTATTTACCCATAAAAAGGCTACTAGAAAAATTGAAAAACAAAAGAAAAATTGATATTCTAAGATCCAACAAAAGAATTAAAGAAACTTTAAAATTTGTCTTTTTGATTTAGGTATCTCTCGCTTGGAATTCAATAGCCCTTTAATGAAGTTTTTAATGTTAGAATCTGTCTTGGAATGAAACAAAAAATATAAAAGGAAGTCCAAGAATTATTATAGGAAATAAGGGATTAGATATATTCTTAAAGCTCAATTGAACAAAGCTCAACATCACATAAAGTAAATGGCTAATCAAAGAAGGATAGAAAGAGTATTTAAAGTAAAAAATTTGATTTACTTAAAGCTATAACCTTATAACCGGATAAGTGTTTCTTTTAGGAGAAACTTTAAGTTGAATCCTTAACATTATGGTCCTTATACTGTTCTTCAAAAGATTAGTTAGCCGGCTTATAATTTGGAACTACCGCTAAGAGTGACGCAAACCCGCCTAGGTCGATGAGTAGAGAACGCATAGATAAGAAGATATGAACCACGAAAAGCCAAATCAATTCTAGAAAGATATGGATGCCACACTCGAATAGGTAGAAGGGGAATGATAAGTAACTTGAATGCCACAAGAGTGTTTAACTCCTAATAAGTTCAAAAGCAAGTTCTTGGAAGAAATTAAAATTATGAATTCTCATAAATAGATTTTGATTCAAAATAATTGATAAGAAAAATAATACAGAGGCGAATGAAAAAATCAAAAAAGAAAAGAAAAATTAATGTCTTAAGATCCAACAAAAGAATTAAAGAATTTTTAAAATTTGTCTTCTTGATTTAGGTATCTCTACTTGGAATTTGGTAGCCCCTTAATGAAGTTTTTAATGTCGAACCTATCTTGGAAAGAAACAAAAGCAAATAAAAAAAGGTTTAAAGATTTGAGACAATAACCATGTAATCGAATATTTTATTTAGTTAATAAAAATAGTGATAGCAAGATTCATGGCCTAAGTTGGCCTAAATGGAAGCAACTCACGGGCCACAACAACGAGTAACCTATTTTAGTCCAAAACACTTAGGTCTTCTTTATTTTTGGCGTGTTGAACTAATTTCGGCCAAACAATATTTAATCATCCTTAGCCTAAATAGCCTTTTAGTCTCAACCCATATAGTCCCAATCTTAGCCTAATTGAAATTTGGACTTCAATTCTAGAATTCAAACGACAAGTTCGACCCTTTAACTTGGATACAAATCACTACGCCCATTGGAAAGTCTTTAAGCCTATAGTCAACTCCAAGAATCTTATCAATCCCTCTCTCTCTTCAAAATGATTCGTTCTCAAATCATCTCCTACATCAAATAGAAAAACTTTAGAAACTTTGAAAACTAAACCGACATTATATTTACTTGATATTCCTAATTGATATATATTTTCTTTAAGTTCACCCTTCGGTTACAATTTTATACCTTTGCATAAATATCCAAATCAAATCTCTTAGTTCAATTTTAAGTTCATTTCAGGCCTTATTAATATGAATCGTAAACTTTTTGATTTGATCTTCATTTGGTTTATAAGCCTATTTATACATACTTTCAACAATTTTAATTTTGGTTTTCCAATCAAAATATCATCCTCAATAGAATTTTGCACTAATTCAAATGGATTTAATAAATGAAACCTATATCTAATTTCAAAAGACAACAAAAACAAATTCATTCCCATTACTCTTTCCCTATTTGTTTTCCATAATAACAAATTTCGCATATAGTATTAAAAAAAAAATCAAACTTTTTTTTCTAAACAAACATTCACCATGCTCACATAATTTAATACATTCGGTTGTTTCATAAAGAATGTTCTCATAACAAAATTTAGATTCAAACTCATACATTTCTTAAGCATTTTTTAATTCCAATGACTTAATACCAAAAACAAAATTTAAATCATGCCTTTTCGATGACGCACTAGCCAACTCGATTTTCTTACCTAGCTCGGATTCATGGTTATTCGACCATGCCTTTTTGATGTCCATCTTTTGAGAAAAACGTGGTCATTTAGCTCCACTTTCTCTCATAACATAACTCCATATTTTTCTCTTTTTTTCTTACTCTCAATCGTACTTGGTTTTCTCTCATTTTTTCTTTTAATTTCTTTTGGTCCTTATGAACTTGTTTTGTTGACAAAGGACAAGTGTTATATTTTTTACCCCCTATTACAAAAGATTACTTATTCCTAAACCTATCATGTTTAACTTTCTTATTAAATTTTCATAGTCGACCTAATAAAACATGACCAACATGCATAGGAAGAATATCACACAAAACCTCATCTTTATACCTACCTATCGAAAATGCACCAACACTTGTGTATTGATTTTGATTTCCCCACGATCATTTAACCATTGTAATTTGTATGGCCAAAGGTGTTTGACAACAAATAATTTTAACTTTTTGATAAGTATAGTACTAACGACATTTGCACAACTACCTCCATCAATTATTAAACTATAAACTTTGTTGTTGATGTGATAGTGGGTATTAAATATATTCTTTCTTTGTACCTCTTTCTCTTTTTTAACTCGCATGGTCAAGGCGTGCATAAAAATCAATGACTCACCCACTCGGATACTCCTTATCTTTACTCTCATTTTCAGATTTATTCTCAACTCCGGACTCACCTTCGACTCTATTTCTCAATTTTCTCTCAACACCAATGCCCTTTTTATTTGGACACTCGGAAGCAATATAACCCCTATCCATACATTTAAAATATCAAATATCTCTATTTTTAGTTGATCGAGATTTAGGATTACCTCTTTCTTGATTGGAAAGCACCTCTTTGCTTCTAGATGATTTGACATTGGGCTTGAAATAAACCCTCTTCTCTTTTCCACTCCATTTTGGTTTCCATGGAGGAATAGCACTCGTAGATCGACTTGGTCGTGAAAGGCCTCTCCTTTTGATCCGCCTCTCCACTTTTATGGCTATACATACTAAATCCTCAAACTCGACGTATTGGCAATCTCCCTATTCAACCCATGTAAAAACCTAGCCATTGTAACCTCCTTATCCTCATCTATATTAGCTCTTATCATGTCTACTTCCATCTTTTTGTGGTAATGTTGCACATTTTTCTAGAACCTTAAGTAAGTCCCTGTAACCTTTGGTACATTTCCCAATAATAATGTGTTGGAATAAATCTCCTCTTTATGATTACTTTCATATCATCCTAAGTACCAATAGGTCTCTCTCCATTTCTCCTCTTAGTCGGGACTAACCGATTCCACCAAATAATGGCGTAATCAATAAACTCAACTACAACTATTTTTATTTTTTTCATAGAATAATTATGACACTCAAATAACAACTCAATTTTCTTTTTTCACTCTAAATAAACATCCGGATCATTCTTATCCTAAAATGGTGGAATATTCATCTTAATACCACCCAAGTCTCGATCTACATTATCTCTCCGCACATAATTTCTCGGACCACCCTAATGAATCCTACTCGTCCAATTCATTCGATATCCATAACCATCATCATTATCATTCACTTCTTCTTCATCTTCTAATCCTTGACCTACGACACTCTTTACATTAGATACCCTTCGATCATGTATGGCATTGTCATGCTCATGTAACCTATCTCACACATTAATCTCTAAATTTGTTGACATGTTTCGCCATGGTATTCATTTGAAAAGCTAAGTTCGAACAACATCTTCCATTGGTTCTTTCTCTTTTAACATGATTTATATATCTTCTAAAATAAAATGTTAGTGAAATAACCTCACAATCACTCCCTTACGTGTTTCACTTAAATTGATGACGCTCTATGCTTGTGTTTGCTCTCTTTTAGGCTTTTTCTTTAATATGCTCACACTCTCTTTCCTTTTACCACTCTTAATTCAAACATATAGTTCTTTCACAAACTAATCCTAAAACTACATAAGAATTAAACAAATTCTTTATAAGTGATAAGTAAAGTTCGCAAGCAACTTAAAGACACCCAACTAATGTGGCTTTCGGACCAATTTAACCAAAACACAAACACTTAAACTAATGACTTCTAGGGTTGGAATTTCCGGATCGATTAGACTTTTTTAGTAAAATCATACTTTTTGTTATCATTATTTTAATGCTTAATGAAATGCTTAGAGAAGAAGAGTATAATTCTAACGAAATTAACTCAACTCATAGAACGAATATGACATTGATTTTAACAAAGAGAATTCTAAAAAATAAAACTCTCACAACTAAAATTTTTAAATGATAAACCAAGTTGAATTGCTGCACATTTTATGTTATTGTTTCAAACTTCACCATAAACTAGTCCGTTCATTTTCTTGTTTGTTGTGACTCACAACTTAATCTTTTATTTTTAACTCACAACTTGATCTTTTTTTTTTAACTTAGGACTCGATTTTCTTTTTTTTGTTTTAATAACGTCGACAAATTCGACAATAACTAGGGAAAGAAAAAAATACAATTCTTTTTGGAAGCTAGGATTGTAAGTGTAGTAGCTTTAGAACTTGATTAGATAAAACAAAAGATTTGGTGACAATGGACGGTAAATTAGACAATCTGGACGAGTATTAAACGAGTAGAAATTTTTTTTTAATATGATACCGATAAAATTTTTGGACTAAACAAAATTACAAGGATTTGGAATTTTAAAAAAAAAGATGATACGAACTAACATGAACCCACCTAGCTCGATAGCTAGATAACCCATAAACAAGAAGATATGAGCCACGAAAAGTCAAATCAAGTGTAGAAGGATATGGACGTCACATTCTAGATAGGTAAAAGGGGAGTGATAAGTCACTTGAACGCCGCAAGAGTGTTCAACTCTTGATAAGTTCAAAGGCAAGGTCTTGGAAGAACTTAAACTTGTGAATTCTCACAAATTGATTTTGATTCAGAATAATTGATAAGGAAAATAATACAGATTGTTTACTTATAAAAGGTCGCTAAAAAATCAAAAAACAAAAGAAAAATTGATGTTCTAGGATCCAACAAAAGAATTAAAGAAAATTTAAAATCTATCTTCTTGATTTCTGCGACTCGCTTGGAATTCAACGACTCTTAATGAGGTTTTTAATATCAAAACCTACCCTAGAAAGAAACAATAGCAAATAAAAAGAAGTCCAAAGATTTGAGATAATGACCATGTAATTGAATATTTCATTTAGTTTAATAGAAATAGCGGTAGCAAGATTCATGACCTAAGTTGGCCCAAATGGAAGCGACTCATGGCCCAAAACAACAACGAACCCATTTTTGTCCAAAACACTTGGGTCTTCTTTATTTCGGTGTGTTGAACTAATGTCAGTCAAATAGTATTTAATTATCGTTGACCCAAATAATCTTTTATTCTTGGCCCATATAGTTGCAATCTTAGCCCATTTGAAATTTGGACTTCAATTCAAGAATTATCGATCTTTTAGCTTGGATACATATCATTAAGCCCATTGGAAAGTCTTCAAGCCCATAGTCGGCTCCAAGAATCATATCAAAAAGCCCATTGTATTTCATGTCTCCTTGTTAAAAAGGAAAGTGAGATCTCATGTTATGGTTTCCACTACTTTCTCTGTCTTTCGGGTTGCGGATCGGTTAAGGCTACACCTCAAGTCTGTCTTGGACAAAAAAATTATGAAGAAACATAATCAAGATGTGGTGATAGGGCATATTTAGTGGAAGAGTTTGCCTAGATGGAGGATGTTATATGGGAGGTTTTTAAAGAATTGGACCTATAGTTTCTTGAGTTTTATTTTGATCCTTGAGGACAAAGATCTTTTACGGGGAAGGATAGTGTTAGATTTTATATAGTTGGATGAGTTGTGATTAGGGTTGGTAAGTAGTTAGTATAAATAATGACGAGTCGATTGTTGGTTAGGTAACTATTTCTTGGTTAGTCGGCTAATGCTATTAGAGTAAGTATTTAGAATTGCATATAAAGAGAGAGAAGATGAAAATCGGATTCATTCAAGTATTTACAACCGAAATAGAATTCAAATACAAATTCACTTCTCGGTCTTCTTCTTCTTCTTCTCCTCCCTCAACCTTTCTTGATTTAGTTCTTCTTTATAAAGCAAAAGCGCTTAACATAAGAAAGATTTGGTGAGGAATTAAAAAGTTTGATAAAATTAGTGCGGATGTTGGCCTAATATAAAATGGTCATTATTGAGTGGACGAAGCGACGGGTGTAAAGGCCATTGACCATTAAAGCTTGCCGACATTTGCAAAAATTTAGCAGAGATAGAGGTTTTCGGTGCTAAGAAAGCATTTCAGAGTTATTTTTTTAGGTTTTCATACCTAGAATTTTTTTTTCCTTTTTTGCAAATTTTTTTGGGGTTTTTTCATTTTTTCCACATGACAAATTTGTCTGATGTGTCATGCGTGGCAATTTTTCTATCATGCGTCATTTTTATTGATAAATTGGCCAGATATTAGTTAAAGAAGCCAAGTTAATAAAAATTAGAAAGTACAAGGGTTTGAATAAAAAAAAATACAGGAACCACTTAAAAAAATCAAAATAACAGAGGACGTTTTATACCGTTAACCCATACTTCGGAAGAAAACAATTCTATTTTCGCTACGTTACTTTCTCTTGATTTCAACGTCGATGGCGACAGATACAAGGTGAAAGATGGTACACATTTAGAGATCAATTACAGTTTTTCTTCCTACATCTTCGTCCGATGGCTGATCTCCACTCCTTGGAAGACCATATGTTGGCGAAAAGCAGGATATCACTGGCTGAAATAAGCTTAATGATCATTCGGCCAAAATAGTATAATACTGTGCTTATGATAATTGGGTACAAGAAAGGAGGAGAACTGCCAGGAAACCCAAAGGCGATGGCAAAACCAGACAGGAAAAAAGAGCAGAAGAAGAAAGAAATCTAATCCATGCAAGGATTGCAAGATCCTTATCGTGTCCCATCATAGGGAAGCCAAGCCACCTCCTTAAAGTGAACTCCAGGTAGAGAAACCGCATTAGAAACCAACAAAAATCCTATGAATGGACGTAGGCATAACGATGCGTCCACCCTTCCTCGAAGTAACCAAGCCATACAACATGAACTTAAAAAAATTGCTTTGATCCACACCGCCCGACCTACAGAGACTTGGGCCAAAAACATTCTGCTAAAGCCCAGGTCCAACACATTCTTTTATCAAATGCTGAGAACCTTTATAGGAAACTACTAAAAACATTGTCGCCCACAGGGTCCCAGAGCTTTGCCGTAATCCCAAATAGCCTCCATTAATTCCTCAGAATAAAACCCTCCCATAGAACAGCCCAAATTCAACCCTGAGCGGCAATACACAAACAAATCCACCTAAAATTGCTGGGTAAACCATCTAGCCCAGACTTTGTGTTTATGGTTCCTAAACAGCGAGTCATCCCAAATGACCAACATCTGTATCAACATAAGAAGCACTTAGCATTACTGGAGTTCCAAGTAACTTGAACAACAGTATCGTCACCATCCACAGGTTTGATTTCTAGCTCTTACTAAGTTTACCAAACAAATTTACTAGGCGAAAGCAGTTACCTAGTATCAAATTATAGCTAATCAGACATATGGCCGAAATAAACCAGCAAATGTGTTGGTGAACATAGAGAATAGTAATAAAATCATAATCTTCCCACTACGTTGTCAAAATATTGAACTGTCAAAAAATCGATCTAACACGAGAAAATAATAGCCAAACAGTGATATTCCATGCATTCCAGTATGAAAAAATGTCTATTAATTGCTCACAACAATCAGAACTAAAGTTCAAAATTTTGATCCAAAAATATCTAGCACAATAATCAAATATGGAATAATGTTGGGGGCTGGAGAGAGGTGTGAAAAAGGGAGATGAATTTCAAAGCATGGATTATCATGGAACCAAAACAATCTAGTTTTACAAGTAAAAGCTTTAAGATCACAAGTCCTACGGATCAACAGTTGTCACCTGTTGCCACTCCCCATCTACAGCTTCTTTCCACAATGTTACATTGTTGTTCCCATCAGCAACAGCCAGTATGTTTCCAGTTAGAGACCACGAGACCCTCCAAACAGGAGCCTTGAAATCATGCAAGACCTTCCCTTCCCATTGATCACCTTCCTTTGCCACAGTCCATATAATAACCTTCCCATCCTGTGAGGCACTAGCAATGGTAGATTTCGGAAGGCCCAAGTTGGGTGCCCAAGCAACATCCCTCACCCAATCAGCATGCATATTAAGAGCTGGAAAGCAATCCAGCTTCCAATTCCCATTATAAAGTTTCCACACTTTGACGGTATTATCACAGCCACCTGAGCAAAGCTTCTGAACAGGGTCAAGCAAACCAGAACCAACAAGGGCACCAGGTGCAGTGGATGGGGCCCACGAAACAGAAGTTACACCAACTGGGTGAGCTTGATCAATCCTCGATGTATCCCAATTGCCATCAGCTCGTGCAGTAAAAACAGATATATTCCCATCAGATGAACCACATGCCAAAGAGAGCCCCAGTTCATGAGGTGCCCAAGCAATGGAATTGACAGATGATTTGTGATCATCAAAAACATGAGCTTGGGTCCAATCATTCTGGTTACCCTCCTTCCATATTATGACTCGCCCATCATAAGAACAAGAAGCAAGCAACGAGCCGAATTTCGGGTGAGCCCAAGCTACTTGCCAAACTGGGCCTTGGTGCCCAATCAGATTTGCAAGATGCTGAGAAGTATTGTTGTTAATCCCAACTATCTTGATTGAATGATCGGATGAGGCAGTTGCAATCCGCTTGCCATAGTAATCCATTGCCACATCATGGACAGTGTCCTCATGACCAGTTTCAATTTTCTGAGAAGGCATTTTGTAATCAAAACGGCTCTTTTCTCCTACAAAAAATAAAAACTAAAAAATGAAGTTAAACAAAAATTTGTTGTCTGCTGCCGAAAAAATGCAAGCCAAATAATTTCATAAAAAATAAATGAACAAAAGCACTCAAATGGGAAGAATTCCCAAAAAAAAAAATCGAAGAAGAAATTTCCAGATCCTGCTAATTCACTATAGAAACTAAGCAAAACCGATCACCTTTTGAGCAAATTAATAAACAAAAAACCTCATAATAATATAAAGGAATTTGATCCAAAGCTCCAAAATTCAAAATTACCAAAATCACATCACAGAAACCCTAATCTTATAAGTAGATTTGCAAATCACAAGAATTCACAATAAAACCCTCAATGAAACGTATGTTCTGTAGCTTAAATATTATCAATAATGAAAAACAAAAAATAGATGAATAACTAAAGGGATTGCTTAGATCTGAGCCAAAAATTATTAGCTTCATAACACATAAACAAATTCAATTGAGTGTTCGAGATTCAGACCTGCGGATTATCGATCTCAATTCGATGCAGTTAGTGGATCAAAGGAGAAATAAAATAGCTCTGTCTGTCACTTCAGTTGAATGCCAAGAGAAAACAATATATTCTGGCTTTCAGGCGTCGTTGTATTTGTACCTGTAAGGAGCAAAGGAGGAAATTGCTTGATTTAACCGGAATGGAGCTGATACCAATTTCACCCCTGTGTTTGAATTACTTCACCAAAGAAGACCCCATAAGATGCATTCTGTCAAATTTAACCTGTATTTGTTAGACTCAATTTTAAACAAAATTGCAGTTGCAATTAACTCTTGTTCAGGTCGAAATGGATAGCCATTGTGGTGCCTATTTTCAATGCAAAAGCGTATCATGTGACATTCATCAGAAAAAAAAAAAAAAAAAAACTCAATAAATTTATTTTGCACTAATTGGACTCATTCACACAAGGCTCGTCCTTTAATTGATTTTTTTAAAAAAATTAGGATTTTATAAAATGTTTGAAAAATAATAATAAAATAATGGCTGAAATTTGTTCAAAACTTTTTTGTGTTTGTTTTTAAAAATTTCAAATTTTAGTGGCTAAGAATTTTTTGTACTTTTATTTCTCAAAAACTTTAGCGGATGAGTATGATAGTTGAATATTTTCAATTTTTATATTAAAAATTTTCACTTTTTTTTTTTGGGAAAAAAGAATAAATTTATTGAAAAATTTTAAAATTTTATGGCTGAATAATTTTTATTTTATATATATTTCTGAGACATTTTTTAAAATTTTGAAAGAGCTGTGCATAACGTGATGTTCCTTCTCATTGAAAAAATGCCACGTCACAATTAATTTCTACTTAAGAAATAGTCAATTTGATAATTGGAAGTTTATTTACAATTGAATCAATTAGGTGGAATTGACGAACTGGGATATCTATAGGACTAATTTGATAAAATTCATCGTAGAGGGGCTTGCTTGTCGGATTAGTACAAACACAAGGGTGAAAATGAGAGGCTTTCTGGGAACTGCCAAATTAGAGCGAGATAGAAACAAAAATGGGCCGAAAGAAACCGAAGTGCTCGATTTGTTTGGATTTACGCGTGGGTTTTGGCCCTAATTATGTTAAGCTTGAATCAGGCTATAGCCTTGCTTACCCCAAGCACCTTTACACTGATTATTGTATCTTTATCACTGTTATCCTCTATCAGTGGTTTGATTCGAACACCTTCATGTACTGAGACCAAACACTCTCCACCCTAATTAAGTAATTAATGTCTCTAAAACTGTATTTATAAAAGATTTCTATATCGCTGTCATGAAATCTAATAAAAAAACTTTTCAAGTTATATCGCTTCCAATGTTATTTTAATTACAGATGGATAAATGTTCTTATCTATTGCTTCATGCAATGTCGGGATCGGTCTGCTATCAAGTGAGTATTTTGGTCTCATAGTAGGATTAGTGGTTTAGATGCATACCACAAAACAAGTAGGTGACAAAATTAAAATTGGAATTGGTACAATTCGTATAATGAGAAGCTTTTGTGAAATTCGTTTTAGATTTCAATAAAACTACTCGAAATCAATTGCCAGGAACATAGTCAGAAAAATATATATATATATATATATATCAACCGGCAAGAGGTTTTTTGAAAGGCGTGGAAGCAAGAAAGAAACATTTTCTGGAAAAAGTTTCACAATCAGGCGGTGTTCGTGATAGAAACTAGTGCTTATTGGGAAAAAAAATTGTTTTCTTATAACATTATGAAATGAAAAGCAAATCTGTTCATTATATTTATTATTCGAATCAATACTTCGAGGATATATAAAACTAATTCTATAATTATTAAACATTAGGTGTTTGATTATTTTGACAGGTGACACTGCCACCCTAATTTAAATCTTTACACTAGCTTCTGTTTTCTCGTTTTTATTTTAAACTTAGGGTCTACTCCTATTAACTAGGTTTTTTTCTTTCAACCTAGTCGTATAGGGGGAGAATTATCTAATATGAGATGAATAGTAGCAGAAGCCATCTGCTTTTTACCATGATCTGTTAAAATGAGTTAATATATTTTTGGTACATAAAGTTATATATACGTGTGTGTAAGTGTTTTAACTTTAATTTTTATTATTTGAGTATTAAATTGTAATTTTTTTTATTTAAGTGGTTGAATCAAATTTCATTAACTTGATATTGATGTAGCCGTTAAGTGCACATATGATGCTGACATATAGAAGTCACTGTTAAACATGTGCATGGTGACTAGAAAAAAAATATTATATATTTAGTATAGGAACTTGTCATATTTTTTTTATTTGAATATGTAAACTTTAATCATTACTGTTTGAGTTTATGAATTTGTAGTTGTTTTTTTTTTTTAAAGGTTTTATTAATCTAGGCTGATGTGTCTATTAATTGCATATGTGAGACTACCATGCATACTCATTGTCAAGAACATGACAATCGTAAAAAAAATTGATAAGTAACAATCTTTTCTTATTCTTAGATAACAAAAAAAATAAATAAATAAATAAATTATATAACAAAAATTAGATATTTATGGATTTACATAAAAATTATTTTTTTATTAAAAAAATAAAAGCAAACAAATTACTTAAACATAATCAAATACAAGAAAATGATTGAAAATTAAAACAAAAAAATATTGGTTGTGTTCATTCTCCAAGGCCATGATCCATTCATGGTGACTATTTAGAAAATAATGATATGAAATTGAGTTTTAATTTGTAGTAAAAAATAACTTGAATCTGCATTGGATAAGATATGTTGATTAAAAAATTTTCTTATTTAATTTTATATATGTATCGGTTGATCCATTCCTAGTTTTTGTAGTGTGTGTGTTCGGATATTTGATAATGAGGCTTACATGACAATACTACATTTATAATTAACAAACATATTACTTTAGAGTTAGCAAAACCAGTCAAATAAAAGAAAATTACTAGTTGATACGTTCAAATAGTAAAGGTTAAAATTTACATACACGAGATAGAAAAAATTGAAAAGTTTGTACACCTAATAATAAACTCTCGTTTTTAACGTGTTAGATAATGGGGTTCACATGTCGGTGTCATGTGTGCGGTTAAAAACTATGTTAGCATAAAGTCAATGAGAGTTAGCAGAACCATTCAAATAAAAAAAAATTACAATTATGTACACTTAAATAGCATAAATTAAAGTTGACACGTTCAATAGAAAAAGTTGACAACTTTATACATGAAAAATGTAATTGACTCCTATTAAAATGCTAAATTACAAAGACCTTTTATGATCTCAAAGCCAATTGAAAATTAGTTCTTATGTTTTCAGTTTTATTTTTTACCTCCTTATGCTTCGAAATATTTGAAATAAAGTATTTTGGTTGCTTTGAGATTACTGCATATTTGATATGCGAACTTTTCAAAATTTTCTATTCTAGTGTCCCAATTTTATTCTTTTACTCGAGTGAGTGAACTTTCAATTTTTTTATAATCGAGTGTTTATGTTAAATTCATACTGATGTGCCTATCAAATTAAAGCACCAGTATGTTGACATGCATGTCACATAATTATGAACATTTCTCTTTATTTCTAATCGAGTGTTTGTATTTTTTTTTTCATATCCGAGTATATGTATTTTTTAAAAAACATTTGTACTTGAGTGTGTGTATTTTTATTTTTTCTATTTGAGTGTTTATACTTTTAAAAATTTGTTATTAATTTTAAAATCTAACAAATATCCACTTTGTAATCTTATATAAGTCATATTTTGACCAAGTTGAATAAAATTTAAAATCAAAACAACAAAAAATAATAAGAATCTATTCAATTTATTTTTTTAAATTAAGAATACAACTTGACTAATTATCAAGAAAAAATTTAGATTACTCAATTTCCTCCACTTTCTCGCAAACCAAACAAACTTCCATCTCAAATTTTAAAAGGTAATAAAAAAAGGAGCAAATTCACCATACATCAAAGCTTATTTTTTATACAATTTTATATATTCTAATTTTTCAATAAAATCTTTAATATCTCACGTACGCACGCATATTTTCATATGAATCTCCAACAAAATGATGCAATTTTTGTAGTTATTTATTGGTTTATTTATTTTTTATTTGCTTACAAGTCGGTTGGTCAACACAAATCTATCTTTTTGGTTCGTTTCATTATTATTATTATTATTTAGTTTGAATAATTTTTTATCTTTTTTAATTTTTTAATTTTAGTTAACTTAGTTAAACTATGGCTTATATAAGATTGCGAAGCGGATATTTGTTAGATTTCAAAATTAATAATAATCGTCAATTTTTTTTAAAAAAAATACGGGCACTTAAATTAAAAAAAATGAAAATATGCACACTCAAATAGAAAACAAAATAAAGTGCATACATTCAAATGGGAAAAAAAGAAAAAATACAAGCGAGTTGATTAGAAATTAATTTTATGTCGAAGTGTGACTAACATATCAATATGCTCGATGTGTCAATTTA